GACGCGGTTGATTTATAGCGGAACCGGTAGCTCGAAACTGGATAATCCATTTACGAATCAAATTTTCGCTTGGTTCATCACGTAAACGTCTCATATTGTAGTGAGAACAAAACTGTCTCCGAGCCACTACGTACGATTCTCCACCTTTCAAAAACGCTTCGATAGCGAACGCGCGGTGTTCACCCGACCACTGTGACATTGTGACTAATGAATCCGCACGAACGACGAAGCTACTGCGTTCCTGCCCCCGCGCTTACTTGCAACGGTTTTTTAAATATTCTAATTTAAAATCCTAACTCTGCCGTGAGACACCCTGTACGTGTGCAGGTATAATCGTAGTACTACCCCTTATAAAAATTAAGTGAATCAGTCGGTACGGTATTGTTGACGGTCGACACTTATTAGCAGGTGAGTTAGTCGCGAGCTCGTTTGTCCATTTTCTATAAAAAGTTTTTTTTATAATAACTAGCTACCTTTCGGTGGTTCCACAGCACAGTGGCTCAGCACCATATCATCATACGTGGCACTGCAGGGCCGCGGGTTGATTCCCGCACGGAACAAGTGTTTATATGGCTTACAAATAATTGTTCTAGGCCTGGATGTGTGTCCAAATTATTAATTTAAACCACCACGATACAGAAGAAAATCCTACGGTGGGAGTAACGTTTCAAAAACCTGTACCCCAAATACTTAAACTCTACTCAATTTAAAGATGCTGTTAAGTCTCATGCTGTCTCTGTCACTTTGACACCGTAAACACTCACATTCGGTATTATTCGATAGTTTTACTCTAAAACGAGTAAAAATCAACGTGTTGACTGCAAAATTCACAACTTGAAGGCTCGCATCGAGCCTCGATGGAATTAAATAAATGTTCGTCGAGCGTGTTTATTCAGAAATGGATTTAAGAGTTTATTCCAAATGGGGATATCGAGGAATTTATAAACTTATATTCACATTGCGGTTGTTTATGGAACGTCAAGTCAAAAGATAACTCTGAATTACTTATACTTGCTAAATGCAGCCACTGTCTCCTTTGTTGAACAGACATTTTGACTCGAGAACGATTCGGTAAATACTGAATGTCACGCGTCGCTCTATAGATAAATGCTGAATTTGTGGACAAAAGCCCGTGACGTTATTTTTACTCGACGTGATTGCTCGATCGAGTAAAACCTTATGTGAATACGGAGCATAAGACTTAACGACGTCTTAAAATTGAGTAGTGTTTTAGTATTTATCCATATTTCGTTTCTCGCTATCGCTTATTACTTGTCGCCTGATTGAGGTCGCAGCTCGACGTGCATTGTGTATAGGCGTTCGTTGTTCGAATGTCTGTCGTTCGGTTTCGCATTGAGGCGGGAAGGTTTTTGTGCTACAAACGCATGCGCCTAGAGCCAAATAGTATAGTAATTATATAAAGGACCTAGTGACTTGTGCCTTCTGAACAATTTTTTTAAAGTTTTTGTTTATGACCCTCGTGCATAAGTTATATAAAAGAAACAATATTGTGCAAAAAGTTGTATAAAGTGCCCGTTACGACCTCAAGCGGTTTGTTTTTATTTTAATATTTGTCTGATAATGTTGTGACATTATTGTTGATTTAAAAAATGTTTTAAATATTGTTGTGTGTTGTTATCTAAATGTTCTTCCATGGTGTTTTACGTGGTGAAGCCACACTGGATATATATGTAGTAGCATGAATGGTTCGGCTCAAGATCAACCGCGGAAGGACCGCGCTCTCAATTCAATCTAGAATACCAGCGGAAAATAGCAGCTTAATGATGCTGTGTTTCATATGACGAGTGTGGAGAAGTCCGTTTTAGTCCTCAGGGGTGACAGCGCCTCTGCATTGTGATTTTAACCGAGGATGATTGATGATGTCTGTGAAACAACTTTTTTATCATCAAGTAGACTGTATGCTCGTTAGTCACGCTTATTTTAAATATAGTATAAAAATATATGAATACTCTGAATCCGAAATATGTACATAGTTATTAATACTATAATTTGTAGTAAGTACCCGCCTAAACCTTAGGCTTATATTTACATCTTAAGTATTAAAAAAATGTTAGTGACGTAAATTAGCTCCATGTCTGTTTTCCATTCAAAATTAATTGGGGATGATAACAATTTAATTTAATATTTTTTACGTAGTACAGCCACGCTGCAGAAATATTTTGGTTGTAGCACGAATGGGTCGGCTCAACCGGGGTAGGACCACGCTCTCACAGGATACGAAAGTTAAAAAGCAGCTATGTTTCGTATGGTGTGTGTAGAGAACCGGAGACCCTTTTTACTGGAAACGAGGCATTCTACCTCAGACCCCGGGGGTGACAACGCATTGAAAATAAATGTAGATGTCTATGGGCCGATGTACTTACCATCAGGTGAACTGTGTGTTCATTTGTCATCCGTATTATATGAAAAATATCTAATAGTACGACGTCTTGACCTCTTCTTAGTTCAGTTTCCCTCTGTCGCCTCTTACGACACTCAGAGTATGATATGGTGTAATGGATATGCTTACAACAGCCACTACACGGTTAAAAACTTTGTTATATTGACTTAATGGAGGCTGTTCACTTTACTAACTGTTATCTAAACTAAAATAATAACTTCCGTGGCCTTTTCAACAACGTAACTAAATTCTTAATTTGTCAAATTTAATGTCGTTTTCACGGTTGAACACGTCACGTTTGCTTTACATTGAAGTCTACGTTTATAGACTTGACCGTGTACAATCGTAGTGTTCGCAAATGGTCACGGACTCAAGCGTTTTATGAAACAACAATTTTCTTAAGCAACATCAGTTGTCAAATAAACTAATATAGTTTATTTTACAAACAACATATTTTTTGTAACCCGAATATTTATTTATTTTGTATAAAATTGAAGTTACTAACGAATCTACAGACCATATTCAAGTAAAGAAGACTTCAGATACGTTGTCACACCTCTAAGGGCTAAGATGGAATGCCTCAGCACTGGTTCTATGCAGCTTTTTCTTTCTTGCATACAGCCCCCTCTACTTTTTTTATTAAAATTACATCTGGTTTCTACGCAAAAGTTATCTAGACGAAACCATCGCAGAGTGAGACCGCCTGTTGTACATTTAATGTGATTCAGCACTTCTGTTTCACAGTCTTACCACGAGATTATATCCACTTATTATCTGGTAGGCTGCATGTATCATTTGTCAACCTTACTTTCTTCTTATAAAAAAATTCCTAGTTGCTTGAGATATTGGCCTAATGTTTACCGCTCTATCAAAACAAATTTTATTACAGTATATAAGTTAAATTTATAAAGCGATTTCCTAAAGTGCAAGGGATTTCGTATTGTGAAAGTGAAGTAGAGCCACGCTGCAGTTGTATTATGTCTGCAAAAGTAGTGGGTCGACTCGGCCGAGGGAGGACCACGCTCATACAGAAGACCAGTGTAAAATGGCATCGTAATGATGCTGTGTTTTGTGTGGTGAGTGTAGAGAACTGGAGACCCATTCTTAATGATAACGAGGCATCTCACCTTATTTCTCATTTGATTCTTAACCGATAGTAAATTTAGGTATCTATGGTGCACACAATTAGAGGTAGATGTGTGTGACTTTAAATTGTTTTGTGCATTTGTGTTTGAAGTTGTGGACTATATTCTGAGATGCTAAGATTTTTTGTAAAGATGTCTATTCATTTAATCTAAATATTATTTATAATTTAGTTCCTTTGCAATACGTGACATTTTTAGAAGCTCTTATTCTTCTTATCTTATTGTACCGAATTCATTGTAGAAGTTATACATTTAAATTTGCCTTAGTAATGCCGTAAAATTTTATTATTAATGAGTATGAAACATGGGCATTCTCTACTTGGATATTAAGTCGTGCTAAAGTAAAAATAGAAAAGGATAATGAAAGGTGAAATTATTATAAATAAAAATATACATAATATATACATGAATATGTTGAAATATTATGTTATGTGGAAATAGGTACTCGAAGAATATAGAATGTTTTAAAACAGTTCTTACGACGGCACAATGTGCAGCGTTTCCATACACGAACCGGTGTTCCTTTGCGAAAATTTTTGGTTGGCGCCTCAAACGTCTGAAATTAAAAGAATTAAAATAAAACGCGTTAAAATCCATAAAATCAGTTTTAATAAATCATCATCATCCCCCAAAAGTCCAATGCTGGACATTGGCTTTTTTTTTTTCTTTTTTTATAGTATAAGGGTGACAAACGTAGACAGAGAAACCTATAGGCCAATGATTAGCGTGGCCTCGAGTGAGACAGGACGATAACGTAATATTTGGGTTATACAATCATCTTTATAACTTTAAAACATATTTAGATAAAATTTTTAATTGTTCTAAGAACTGAACTGAACAAGATTCACCATCTTAAGCTCACAAAACACTTTTTTCTCACTTAAACTAACTTGTAAACTTCTAAGATTACTACGAACTGTCAAAGTTGTTTAGCAAACTGCAGTTTGCTAAACAAAAAAACCGGCACGGAGAAAGGGACAAACAATCACACCGCTCTGTTTCATTTCTATGCAAGACGTCTATCTTTGCGAAAGAAGGCGTCAATTTGTCTATAGGTTTCTCTGTCTACGGTGACAAACGAGCATACAGGTCACCGGATGGTAAGTGGATGCTGTGGCCTATTAACATCTACATTCATCATCTACATCTGTAATCCCTGAGGACCAAGATGGAATGCCTCATTTTCAATAAAAAGGGTCTCCGGTTTTCTATACTCACCATACGTAATACAACAGCATTAAGCTGGTATTCTGTGAGAGCGTGGTCCTACCCCGGTCGATCTGACTCATTCGTACTACAACCATAATATTATAACTGCAGCGTGGCTCTACCACGTAAGAATGCTGAATATCACAATGAACTCGGCACATTACTAATAGTTAGACTGTGACGTTAATATTGATGTATACATATAGCTACACAAGTTTGTAACTGTAACGTCTGTTTGTTCGCAGGTACGCGGAAGCTGGCCTGTATCAAGCGGGTACCTCATCTTCGTCGGGTGCATCTTCCGGATCCCACCCGGCCTCTCCTCTCCCGCACTCTCTGTTCACGCACGAGCCTCTCTACCAGTTTTACAACGCGGCGAAAGTAGAGGTACCAGATTGCATTTATTTTGAGAGCTATTCTTTTATAATAATAGAGGAACAAAGGAAACCAGTTCCAACAGGCCGTAACGCACCCACAAGGTCTAAAAAATTAAAAACTATGAAATGAAATAAAATAAAAACTATATCATAAATTTGAATGTAGGTGGGTACTTTCTTAATGTTTGAAAACTTTGTTGCTGTCCTGTTTTAGGTTCAATTTAAACTTAATTTTGAAACGGTAGGAGATAGTATTACTTAGTAACTTATAGAACATTCAACTTTTTGTCACTATTACTTTCACTAGTGATCGTAAACACGATCAATGCTCATGTAGTCCTGGGTCCGAATCCCAGGTTGAGCCAAAAATCAGTTATCGGGCTTTTTATGTCAATAAATCCTCATTAGTAATCCGGAGTCATGAAGTTGACGGTGTCCCACTCCCTTGCCTTGGATAACATGTTGCCATTGGTCTTGGTCTTGCGCCTGTTCTCTCTCCGGTTGTGTCGAATTACCGTCCCATCGAAATATGCGTGTGAAGGAATAGAAAGTGCACATTTAAGCACTATGTAGGTAATCCTGTACTGTGCAGATGGCTAATTTCTGTCGATACTGGCCGCCGTGACCGAAATTCGGTATGAAGGACATTATTGCATTAATTCGAACTAAGCACAGATAGTAAATTAAGTCTAATTTATTTTTATTATTAGATATTTAAATGCGTGATTAACCGTGACATTGTCATTAATTACTCCATTAAATCCTCATCAAAAACGTGTTACCAACGTGACATTGGCTTAAAAATTATACACATTTGAAGTTATTTTCAAAGTGCCGTTTAAACGTAATCTATAACGTTTAAATACATAATATATTAAATATTATATAATATACTATACTTTATATAATATATTATATACTAAATATATTAAATACTTAATATATTCAGTTATTTTCCCCGCTTGTTATCGATCGTGACTTTAGCTGTAATTGTTTTTTTTTTCTATTTGAAAATATGTGCTAGGCTATGTGACATATCATTTCATTTATAACCCGAGTATAGTTTGGGTTGATTTTGTATTAATACGTAAAAATTATGATTGTAGTACGAATGGGTCGGCTCGACCTGGGTGAAGGACCACACTTTCACAGAATACTAGCGTAAAATAGCAGCTTAATGCTGCTATTTTTCGTATAGTGAGTGTAGAGATCCGGAACCCTTTTAATATATAAGAGACATTCCATCTTAATCCTCAGTGACAACGCATATGAGTTTTTATTCTCAATTATGAATAAATGTAGATGATGTCTATAGACCACAGCATTCACTTACCATCAAATGGACTGTGTGCTCTTTTGTTACCCTTTGTATACGTAATACAAGGTTTATTTTATTCTATAAAAATTGTATCATATACACATATACATAAATCCTACCTAATCTACCAACTGCTATCCTATTACCTATTATATTCTATTCTATTCTACCAACTGCCAACTAGACTTAATTTACTATGCCTATGACAATTTGCTATCAACAAAGAAGTAAATAAATAATAAACAGTTTTATACACTTTCATTCATCAATCATCAATTTTTTTCGAGCTTACACGAAGTACTGAAAATTATAAAATAAGATATATTCACGATGATACTAAATACTTTAATAAATAATCAAACAAATCGTTTACATTAGTAGAGTATCAAATCTTCTGTGATCCTGAGCTAAAATGGATTAGTTTACCAATCAAACTGTCGGCCTACTATGTCTGATAATTATTTTGGAACGTTATGATATAAGTAGGTTCAATTTGAAACAATTTTGATTTGAAATATGCGAATAAAAGTTGCCTACAATACCCGCGTGACCCGGAACCCATCTTAAAACGACCCTGTTGTTACATCCCAGGGCGTTTAAACGGTTCACGCAGTCTCCAACTAGCTTTGAGTTCACTAAGTTTGATCTCAGCGCTAGCAGTGCTGCTTGACTATCAGAGTTTATGTAAATTTTATGGTTGACGTAGTGTTTTTGCAGATTGATTCCCGCACACCGAAGTATGGCGAAAATTTCTGCCTGGAAGATAGAGGTGTAAAAAATTGATTCTAAATTGAAACTGAAACAAAACTTTCAGAAAAATAAATCAATTTAATAGTCATATTTACCAACAGGGAGATGAAATTTTATGAAAATTTACTTTTTTGACGTCAACTAAGCCAGTGTCACTCAAATACGTACGCTAGGGATATTTAACGATGCTGCTTACCCAAGGTCATACTAAGTTTGAATTGAAATAATACTAGTTTTTACGGAATTTATCGCGTATATTTTAACTTTTTAAATACCCGACGTTTCGAACGCTTTACAGCACTCATGGTCACGGGCAGGACTGAGATGTTCAACGTCCATATGTCATAGTTAACCGCGGTTACCGTAGATTAAAATTTAACTTTTGTTCCGATCTATGCAGTATGAACTTATGGTATCTTGAAGTCTTGCAGTTGTATGCTTGGGTTGGGATTTAATTTTATTTATTATAGGATCCCAAGCAGATGGTAGCACCCAGCCATCTTCTCTATTGAAATTAGGATGTTTTTTGATTTCAATAGCCTCGCGAATCATCCTTGGAAGGAATCGGTGTTCTTTAGCGAGGATCTGCGGTCTATCAAATCTGATGTAGTGACGGGGGCGATCCTGTACGTGTTTACAGACTGCAGACTTCCCGGAGCGTCGATTCTTCACATCAGCTATATGTTCTTTAACGCGGGTTTTTATTGACCTTTTAGTTTGTCCTATGTAGGAGAGACCACATTCACAATCAAGCTTGTACACTCCTGCATCTTGCAGAGGGACATTACACTTGACCGATGGTAAAAACTGACCAATCTTCTTCAGCGGCTTGAAGTATGTTTTGATGGAAGCGCGCTTCAAGATGTAGCCAATCTTGACAGTGACTCCTCTAACATATGGCAGTACAGCAGGTACACGCTCGACTGTGGCCGGCTTCACTCGTTCACTGTGACGTAGGCGCGGGACTCGAAGCTTGTTGTCATGCAAAACTTGCTTGACATGGTGGAGCTCTGCAGCCAGGTGTTTACTGTTACAGATCCCTCGTGCTCTCTGAAACAAAGATTTACCCACGGTAGCTAACTGTGAAGGATGGTGGTGAGAATCTCCGTTTAAATATCTATCAATATAGGTCTTTTTTCTATACACAGTATGGCTCAAGGTGTTATCAGGATTCCGAATTACTAACACATCTAGAAAAGCTAAGGAATTGTTTGCCTCTAACTCCATTGTGAACTGAATTTTAGAATTTATAGAGTTAAGATGGTCTAAAAATGCAGTTACTTTATCTAAAGGTAGAATTGTGAAAGTGTCGTCTACGTACCGCTTGTAGAACCTTGGATTTATGGGAGAACTAAGCAGGGCTTTCTCCTCAAAGTCTTCCATGAATATGTCGGCGACAATGGGAGATACAGGTGAGCCCATCGCCACACCATCTACTTGCTTGTAGACCTCAGTGACCTCATAAAGAAACACTCCGAAAAATTAAATCTGGACGTAAAATGGATAATACCTACGTGCGCCAAATCACCAAAATTGTATGGGTTACCAAAAATACACAAGCCCAATGCCCCATTACGTCCCATAGTGAGCCAAATCGATTCACCAACTTACAGATTGGCTCAACACTTAGCGAAAATACTCTCACCACTCAGGGGACATACAAGAGCACACATAAAGGATTCCTACCATTTTGTCAGCGAGATTAAAGACCTACATCTGGCAGACAATGAAACTATGGTCAGTTTTGATGTGCAGTCATTGTTTACATGCTTACCTGTTGAAGACTGCATCTCAATTGTAACTAGAAGGCTGGAAGAAAACAACATGCCCGTAGAATATGCAGTATTACTCAGACACTGCCTTACATCTGGCTACCTATTGTGGAAGGAGGAGTTCTACAAGCAAGTAGATGGTGTGGCGATGGGCTCACCTGTATCTCCCATTGTCGCCGACATATTCATGGAAGACTTTGAGGAGAAAGCCCTGCTTAGTTCTCCCATAAATCCAAGGTTCTACAAGCGGTACGTAGACGACACTTTCACAATTCTACCTTTAGATAAAGTAACTGCATTTTTAGACCATCTTAACTCTATAAATTCTAAAATTCAGTTCACAATGGAGTTAGAGGCAAATAATTCCTTAGCTTTTCTAGATGTGTTAGTAATTCGGAATCCTGATAACACCTTGAGCCATACTGTGTATAGAAAAAAGACCCATACAGATAGATATTTAAACGGTGATTCTCACCACCATCCTTCACAGTTAGCTACCGTGGGTAAATCTTTGTTTCAGAGAGCACGAGGGATCTGTGACAGTAAACACCTGGCTGCAGAGCTCCACCATGTCAAGCAAGTTTTGCATGACAACAAGCTTCGAGTCCCGCGCCTACGTCACAGTGAACGAGTGAAGCCGGCCACAGTCGAGCGTGTACCTGCTGTACTGCCATATGTTAGAGGAGTCACTGACAAGATTGGCTACATCTTGAAGCGCGCTTCCATCAAAACATACTTCAAGCCGCTGAAGAAGATTGGTCAGTTTTTACCATCGGTCAAGTGTAATGTCCCTCTGCAAGATGCAGGAGTGTACAAGCTTGATTGTGAATGTGGTCTCTCCTACATAGGACAAACTAAAAGATCAATAAAAACCCGCGTTAAAGAACATATAGCTGATGTGAAGAATCGACGCTCCGGGAAGTCTGCAGTCTGTAAACACGTACAGGATCGACCCCGTCACTACATCAGATTTGATAGACCGCAGATCCTCGCTAAAGAACACCGATTCCTTCCAAGGATGATTCGCGAGGCTATTGAAATCAAAAAACATCCTAATTTCAATAGAGAAGATGGCTGGGTGCTACCATCTGCTTGGGATCCTATAATAAATAAAATTAAATCTCAACCCAAGCATACAACTGCAAGAATTCAAGATACCATAAGTTCATACTGCATAGATCGGGACAAAAGTTAAATTTTAATCTACGGTAACCGCGGTTAACTATGACATATGGACGTTGAACATCTCAGTCCTGCCCGTGACCATGAGTGCTGTAAAGCGTTCGAAACGTCGGGTATTTAAAAAGTTAAAATATACGCGATAAATTCCGTAAAAACTAGTATTATTTCAATGTGTAGTGTTCGCGTAAATATAAGAAATCACTAAGTTTGAATTTGGGGCGTTCCCCGTAAATTCCAAAGCCTACGTCGAGGCCCATTTTAGACCCATCGGTATACCATATGAGGCTAGGCTACCGACCTCACAGATAACCTGGCCATTCAGCCAGTCTTCTCTGGAGGTAATTCCACTATATACTTTTTATCAAAAGTGTGTAGTGGACGCATGATATCTGAGCTCATGCGTAAGACCGGTGATTCCTTAATTGAGTCGAGCATGGATCTCAATCTGTAGGAGAGCAAGCTCAGACCGCCCTGGGCGTTAATCCTATACAAACTCGCCCTCGCCTCCTTGTCTAGATAGAGATCAAGGGGCGTTAGGCATAGAAGTGCATTAGGAGCCGCTCCAGGCGATGATCGCATAGCTCCAGTTGCCATTAAGAAGACAGTCCTTTGTAGACTATTTAGTCTGTCCGCAGTCGTCTTTTGGTTGGCCTTGTTACACCACACAATAGAGGCGTAGGTGAGAATCGGCCTCACTATGCTGCTGTACAGCCATAGGACCATACTGGGACGCAAGCCCCAGTTGTTCCCGACCAAACGACTGCACGTACCTAAAGCAATTTTTGCCTTATGTCATACGTTGCTGAGGTGAGAGTTCCACGTTAGTTTTTGGTCGATTGTTACGCCCAAGTACTTAACTTCCGTGGAAAATGGTACTTCTTTGCCATTAAGTTTTGGTTGGACTAATTTGTCCAACCGTCTCTTTTTGGTAAAGGGTATTTACTTTTTATTTAATAACAGTTTTATCAGCATTAACTGATAAACTGTTATCCCTACGCCAGTTATTTATGGTGTTTAGGGCTCTTTGTATTATTGACGATAAAGTACTTTGGCAAAAGCCCCTCGCAGTGATCACGAGGTCATCAGCATAACCCAATGTGTCAATGCGTAGGTCTGCCATTTTATACAATAGTTGGTCAACCGCAAGAGTCCAAAGAAGGGGTGACAAAACACCTCCTTGTGGGCAGCCTCCTGTATTTGCAACCTCAATCGAAGTTTGAAACAGCGCTATTTTTGCCCTTCTGTTTGAGAGCATCGACTTCACCCATCTGATGGTTGTGGGGTCAACATTTTTAGATGTCAGGCCCCCAATCAGCAGTGATGTGGGGCTACTGTCGAAGGCGCCCTCAATATCTAGAAAGGCACAAAGAGCTATTTCTTTATCCTCCAGTGCTTTTTCGACCCTGTCAATGACACTGATCAGGGCTGTTTCCGTAGATTTGCCTTTGCGGTAATTTTTTACATACTTATTAAGAACCCCTTGTTTCAAGAACGTTGTCAAGGTAGATCCAACAGCAATGGAGTTTGACATCCGTTCGTCCAAGTCTTATTGGCTAAGCCCGATCGTTGATTTGGTGGCATACCTACTGTACTTTAATGTGACTGTTAAGTTATTAAGATATTGTATTGAACTTTTCTGAATTACACACTTAAAGCAATAAATACCTAATACTTACTACTAACGTAGTTAAAGTAGGAATCTTATGGTTTTTCGAAAAAAAAATAGAAATTTATATATATATATATATATAATATCATTCCATACGTACTCCTAGACAGGAACTGTCATCACCTAGAAAAGATAGAGAAGAATTGTTTATATTTTCTCAAGTAAATACTAATTAGTTTATTTGTTAAACGCAAAAAAATTACAATATTCAAATCATTCAAATCACAGAGTCATGTTGGACGCTATTTTATTGCGGTCATTGAAAACCGCATACATTTTTCACGTTTTTCTGGTATAACATTACGCGCCTTTCAAGGAATTGTTATCGTAATTCCAATAAAATTGAACGCAGCAAACAAACTACAATGGCTGACATTGCGTCCGAAACGGCCGGATTTTAACATACCACTCCTAAATGTCAAATAAATTGAACAATCTTTTTTCGTGTAGGCACATCATCAACGTTGCATGTACAAAGAAATTTACCAGGATTAAGAAAGGAGTGGTTTGGGCCTGTAGAAAGAATAATTGAAAAAAACGGTGATTGAACAAATTTATGTTGCGGAAATGAGTGATAGAGTCGGTCGATTTTTGGCACCGAGATCTTAAATGGTAGCATAGTGCTACTATTTCGTAAGGTAAATGATGAAAACCAGGCACCCTTTTTACTGATAACAACGCATTGCATCTTAATACTTTGCATGCATGTGCATATTGATTCTTGATCGAGATGTAGATGTCTGTGGGTGGCCCATATCCCACTTCGCACGCACTTGTCATTAAGTCGACCGTGTGCTCGTTTTTATATCTTTAACCACAAGCTTGAAAGTTTTTCCATTCGAACAAAGTAAGTTCGACTTGAATAATTTTTCATTATACTTAAACATGAATGAAGTCAGCGATAGCAGCTAATCTATTTAAATAAACGCGGGAAAAACATCATAAATGGTACAACGTTGTTAATTCGTGTGCATGAAATAAATCGCCGGTAAAGAGTGTATACTGTTTATTGTATATTAACGTTTATTAACATAATTTACACGCCGCCGGTGCTCACACCACAGTATTGTATCGATGTTTGTGTTATTTAACATTCTAATTAATCTTCGCAATTGATGTGACCCTGATATTGAACTTGATATGCGAGTTCAAAACCTTACTAATTTCTCTCTCAGATGAATCTAATATTCGCGTAAAACGGAACTCTGACGAGTTACTCATCGGCGTATTGTTGACGTATGTATAGGAAGGACTGGGTCCACTCTAGAATTGTCTAATGCCCAGTTCAGGATTTTTGCTTATCAAGCCAAAGTTAGAATTATTAAAAAATGATGTAATTAAGACAAATACGACACGAAAAATTATTTCATTTCTTTAACTAAAGAAATATTTTTTGTAAATCCATAGCTGAAATAAGAATTAATACTTCAAGTTGAAATTACTTTTTGAAAGTCGCTTTTTAATATACATATCCTTATCCCGTATTAATCGCCGGTATAATTAAATCTATCACTCCAATTAGTTATGAGAACGTCCTAATATAGGCGACATCTATCGAAGACCGAGAAACATCTAAGTACAATATATGGTGGTTTATATATTATCTCGTTTATGGCAGTTGAGAAATATCTGCCTTACTGTCTAGCAAGCAATTATGATTAATCTTCTATGGAATAGAATGTCTCATAGTCTATAAGCATACTGGCTTTCTATACCCTAAAGACCGGAACCACAGAATAAATAATAGTACTACGTACAACACAGCAGTTCAAGCATTCCTTTTTGGCGGTCAAAACAGGTAAGGTCTTACCTACCTAGTAAATCGACGGAGAGGTTTCCATCTTTCTGTAGAGTTAATAACAATAAGTTATTAGATTTTTATTTAAAAATATTCTAACTTACTGGGGCTTAACACGGAGCAGCTGAATGTGGTATGTTTGCAGACCATTACTTTCTATTACAGCCTATAAAAGTTCACTACTGAACGTAGGTCTTCCCCGTAAATTGACTTATAAGAGGAATCTTGCTATAATACATCAGCATCATCAGCAACATCAGCTTTTGTTATTTTGGGTTGTTATGTGAAAGATACTGCTGTCCATCTCTTGTTTCGGTTTCCCTCTGTCCCCTCTTACGACACGCACGGGACAATATAGGGAATATTCTTGCACCGCCACTATGTAGTTAAACATTAGTAGACTATTATTTTATTTATTATTTTACTGCCTCGTTGGTCTAGTGGTTGTAAACTTGGTTGCTGATCATGAGGGCTCAGGTTTAAAACCGGGCTGAAATTAGTTATTAGGTTTTCTGTCAAGAAATTCACAGTAGCAGCCCGGAATCAGGAAGTTGGCGGTGTTTTACCCACGTGCCTCGGAAAGCACGTAAAGCCGATGGTCTTACGTCTGATCTCTTTACGGTCGTTTCGGTTTGCCGTCCTATCCACATAGAGTGAGGGAATAGAGAGTAGACTTGTGCTTACGCAGATGGCTAGTCTCTGTTGAAACTGGCCGTCTTAACTGAAATTTGGTCTGGAGGACATAATTATTATTATTTGCTATGACCATTGATATGTACTACGTACAGAACAGACACCGCGAACAAAAATCTGTGCGGAAATGCGAGGTTTTTCTTCTTTATTAACTGGCTTTACGGCTCTGGTTTCTAGACCTTCTGAGCCTATCCTTTTTTTGGGAATCTTCATTTTATGTTCTTTTCCTTCACAATATGCTGATGCGTCACATTGCGAAGCCCTTGGGAGATTTTGACGACAGCTCAACCTAGCGGACAGTTGACGACGACAGCCACTCAAGTTCATAAGGCGCCCAAGCTTCGATCAATAATATATAATTGATCGAAGCGCCCAAGCGATCAAAATAACTTGAGGTTTACATCGACATCACAGCACTTGTTTCGTCGTTTTCTCTAATAGTTCACACGCGCGGACACTTAATTCACAAAATCGCATCACTTTTACGAATCAAAATCCACTTCAAACCATTATTCAAGCGACAAAACAGGAGCGACAATCCGTCTACGGCCAAGTTCCCGCCAAAACTCCGAAGTGCGCGGTGAGTGGAAGGAGGCACAGAGTACGATTTCATAGCACAGACGAAGTACGAGTACTCGTATGTTTGATGCATGCGTGTTGCAAACGACCAAGTCGCGGTGTCTGTTCTAGTACGTGGTACATATTACTGCTATGACTATGACTTATTGGTTGTGACCGTTGTCCGCAGTCGACGTGCCGTGAGAGCGGCGACTCGGACTCGGACGGGTACGAGGCGGGCGCTGCGCCGGCGCGGCCGTCAGCCATGGCGCTGGTGGCGCCGCGCGGGCCCGCGCGCACGCTTTGGTGCGAGGTGCCGGAGGTGCTCAACTCCGCTGTACTCAGTAAGTACATTCGCATCGCATTTTACACGTAGCGTCACGAGTCGTGAGCGTAGTCTTGACATTCGCTATAGTCGATTTATACGCAGTCTTAAGTACGTGTACACCAAAACCGATTTTGTCGGCCGATGGCGAACAGAACTACCCGGACGAGTAACTCGGACGTGTATGTGCTTATACTGCAACAGCGTACCACTTGTGCCGACATTGTAAGTTGCCGGTATTCTTTTCTTTTTTTTTTATTTCCAATATCCATAGTCGTTTACAGATATAACAACACTGACAGAATAACAGAATAAAGACAAAATGATTAAATTAAACTATAAAAACACTCAATTTGCACTGTAGACGCCGGCAGTCGGGCGAGAAATCCCAACAAGTTCAGATTCGACGGTTGATCGGCCGTTTTCGTGCGTTATCGGACGATGACGGTCGTGTTTGTGTACGCGCTCTCTTTGTTTTACAAGTGTTTGATTCGATCGTCCGAGTTCGGCCGTTGTCGCCCGAGCAAACTTCGGCCGATGACGGATTTGGTGTATGCGAAGCGTTAGGGCATCCCCACATTTATTGACGTGGAATCGATTTAAGCCGAGTATATCAACACACTACTCGACTTAACGCCGATCTCACTTAGATAGCAGTGAAGCAGTAAAGTATACCTACCACCCAGAAAATTAAAATAATGTTATAATCTACCAGACTTTGTTTCCTTTTTATAGGTTCGCTAGCTCCAGCGCAAAAACGCTTGCAGGAGGCAAAGTTCGAGGTGCTGACTTCTGAAGCTTCCTACCTTAACTCGCTGAACGTGTTGGAGGCGCATTTTATATCGCACCCCGCCTTCCGCGACCCACAAGTGCTACCTCCGGAAGATTGGGAAGCGCTATTCGGTTCCATATTGCCAGGTACAACTTCCTCAGTTTACCTTTTTGTAACAGGAATATATAAAAGTTGAATTCAATTTAATGATGTTTTGTTGTCACCCCTGATATTCGTGCATTGCTTCTAATTTTGCATTTTGTATCCACCTTAAAATTACTTTTCACTTGATCTGGCTCAAAGGACCAGTTGGTTATTTAAAAGCTATGCTTACTCTGCCTATTGAAGATTGTTCTTTAAAATAACCAGAATACCGAACACAGAGCAATATATATATATATATATATATATATATATATATATATGCAATATGTTTTTTCAATTAAACAATAAAAAAATTGCTTGTCCAAACAAAGATTCAGTATGGATATAAAGTACTTTAGTATTTAGTACTAGTCACTTTAGTAATTTTTATGGGTAAATTATACTAAATGGCCTTATACTTATGTTACTGTGCGTTGCTTTTGTGTTTACGTTTTGTTTTCTACATAGACTTACTGTTAACTTGATCTGGCTGAAAGGACCAATCGGTTATTTGAGAACTATACTTGTTTCTAGAGTATTTTTCATGTTTTTCTATACCACAAGTTTCTTCATGTCTTGATACGATAGGATACTATTATTTAATTTATTTCTAGTCTAGCTTTGCCTCGGCTGCAAAGGACCGTAAAGATTTATGTCAAAGCTACTTTAATGCTTAATTAAGTGGTAAGACTTAATCAATTTAAGTGGTGAGACTCCTTAGTATCCCTCCGTGCGAGTAGACGAGACGACGAGAACAGAATACTTATTTTAATTTTACTTTTTTTCGTAATTTTTCGAACACTCAATTTTATTCTCATTAGTCACTAAAAAGCTAATAATTCACGTGTTGATAAGAAGCTAATGTGCCTTATAGACACCATTCAAAGAAACGAAAACTACAATTGCATTGCATCTGAAGAATAAGATGTTTTATATCCTATAATTCTTTATCAGTACTATTTAGGACAGAGTATTGGATGCATTTCTACTTTTTCAGTTGTGGAAATAGGTACTTAAGTAAATTCTAAATAGAAAGGGAGCTCTATCACCCATAAGATGAACAATTGTATTGATGCCGCCGATCCTGCGGTTCCGACCTGCAACAGAGTTGGAAATTATTTAATAAAAAAACAGTCCCGCTAAAGTTTTATTCTGCAAGTTTTGTTGTCGTACGTATTATATGGGCCGTGTATAGATCGTATAGGCGGTGTAAGAATATCTACTACATCTACTATGTACAAACTAGGGGATAGACTGCAGCGTTTTCCTGTTAACAACTGGAAATTATAAAAAACTACGGTTACCAACCTGCCTGCTTAGTGTGGCAACTGTGGCAAAATCCCCCTTATGAGGCAATCTACGGAAAAGGTCTGTGTTCAGCAGTGGACTTTAATAGTCTGTATTGGGTGGACGGATGGATGGATGGTGTTTATATGTGCTAATCGAAATGTTATCGTATTATCGTGTGTTTCAGTGCGCAGATGCTCGCAGCTGCTGATGGGCGAGCTGGAGAAGTGCTGGCAGGAGAACATTCTGCTGCAGGACATCTGCGACATAGTGCGGCGACACGCGGAGGCGCGCTTCCACGTGTACGTGAAGTACTGCGAGCAGCAGGCGGCCATGGTGCGCACACTGCAGCGCCTGCGCGCGCGCCCCTCCTTCGCCGCTGCGCTGCACAGGTCAGCCCGCCTCCAAGTGTCCCCTTGCTTCTACTCGGCGTAGGCCACAGCAATGATAATGTCCTCGTTTCTGATTCCGAATTTGCCGATCACATTCAAATATTATCCGCATAGGGTATTTTACACCGTATAAAATAAAATCAAAAATATATATTTACGATAGATTTTGTAAAAAGTAAACAAGAAATATTGATTTCTGTTTATAAAATTGCATTATAAATTTTAAATTTCCATATTAAGAATATTATTTTCGTCTGTTCCTCAAATCTGCAAAACGCTGTCGGCCATATTAGCACATGTCGTGACGTCACTGATCCAGCCTAAGGATATTAGTGTTTAGTATCACTGATTAAGAGAACTAGCTAACGTGTTGTGTTGTTTCGAAATTTTTAAGTTATAATTACGATTATTGAGTTTTATACCGAATTTTATTGAAAAAGCATTATGGAAGACGTATTCGTAAAAACAGAAAGTGCTAATCTACCAAGGATAAATAAATAGATGCTGGCAAAATTTTTTGCATGCAATTCCAATTTTTGTTCTGCCGAGTTGAGGAATATTAAAATATCAGTGTAAGTACCTATTACCAACTTTTGTTTACACAAAAACACAATACCAGGTCAGTGTATTTTGATAAAACATAGTTTAGTAGCTATCATAGTTTAGTTTATCTATAATTACAATCATTAGCAATCATTAGTTATAATATCTAAGTTAACGTAATTTATTACAAAATTTGACTTGCGATACCTTTCACTTCTTTTTTTTCTTCTTCTTTTTCTTTTTGTATTAAACGACAGTTAAATATAAATCATACTTACATCAAAATTATCTTCACAGAAGTATAGTCTACAAAAAAACAATGCCTTCGGGTCTCGTCTTACCAGTTTTAACTAAATTAAATTTCTCATATTTAAATCAGTTGGCACTTTAATACATAACTTCCCGGCGTTCTTATGCTCGTATTTTGCATTCAGGCACAACACAATAATGATATACATGATAACTCACTATTAAACATTAAAAAGTATATTATTCCTTTGCAAAATTGGCACAATCGACGACTGTGACGTCACGAGTTGAACAACTTGGCGGCTAGCGTTTTCACGCGAAAATTTAAAACAATAGATTAAAAGTAATTTTTATGGCACTATTCGGTTTTAAAAAAATTATATAAAAATTATAGTGGTTCATTATCACTCTAGGATTCATTTAAAACAATTTTTGAAAATGGGTAAAATACCTTATTCAGCCAAATGTACAATTTAAATAAACCAAAGTTAAACATTGTTAATATTTTTCTAGAGCAATTTAATACCATTCATATTTTTAATAAGATTGTATACTTTCATATCGTCAGCCTACAATGATCAAATTGATCTGTTTTATATGCGACACGTCTATGAGCTGCAGTGGCCACTTATTAGCAGGATCTTAGTTCTCACAGATGACAACGCATCGTGCCACGTGTCGCAAATAAGGCTGTCAATTCGTTTTTCTTTTTATAGAAAAAGAGTGACAAACGAGCACATAGTCCACTTCATGGTAAGTGAATATTGTGGCCTAAAGACATCTATATTTATCTTCGATTATATTATGCGTTGTCACTCCTGAGTGCTAAAATGTAATGCCTCATTTCTCGTTAAAGGGTCTCTGGTACACTCACCACAGGAAACATAGCAGCATTCAGATGCTATTCTGTAAGAGCTCGGTCGAGCCGACTCGTTCCTGCTATTCGTATAATATAGATGCAGCGTGACTCCACCGCATATACAGTATGAAGTAGGAAGTTAGCAGGTAGAGTGCAAGTTAGTTTGAGCGTGTATTAAAGTAGTGCGTACGCGCGTGTGCAGGCTGGAGGCGCACCCGGCGTGCCAGAGCCTATCGCTGCACTCGTTCCTGCTGCTGCCCATGCAGCGCGTGACACGCCTGCCGCTGCTGCTTGACGCCGTGCTACGCTCGCTGCAGCCTGCCGACCGTGAGCACGACGCCTGCGTGCTGGCGCTCGCCACGCTCAACCACGTAAGCTACGCACCCTACACACGCTACCCCACCCCATCACTATCCACACACACACCCTTCATTATGCACTACCTCTATGCCATAATTCAAGTCACTTACCCACGCTCAAACACGTACGCTACACCCCCACTCCTCCGCACTATTCACACCCACTTTACTATCATTCAATTACCCACGTTCAACCACCTACGCTACACCCCACACCCTCTCACTATCCATCCCCTCTATACTAAATTTACTTGCCCACGCTCAACCACGTACGCTACACCCCATCTCTCCTCACTATGTACCTCCTATATACGATCATGTACTTACCCACGCTCAACCACGTACGTCACCAACGCTACACCCACCCCCCTCACTATACACTATACTATCATTCACTTACCGTTACTGTTACCATTACAGCCTATCTAGTCAATGGCTGAACATCCCTTATATATTGTGTTATAAGGGAGATATCTGGTCTAGTGGACATAATCGTGGCTGCCGATCATGGGTTCGAATCCCAAATCGGACAAAAAATCTGTCAAGCAATTCTCAGTATCAGCCTGCAGTCTAGACAGTTATCTCTCATCATTCATCATACATCATCATTACAGCCCTTCACAAGTCCACTGCTGAACATAGGCCTCCCCCATAGCAATGCCACAAAGCACGGTCCTGAGCCACCTGTATCCATCGACTTCCTGCTTGTCTTACCAGGTCGTCACTCCATCTAGTGGGGGGTCGCCCTACACTACGCCTACCGGTACGAGGCTGCCACTCGAGAACCTTTCTTCCCCATCGGTTATCGGTTCTTCGAGCTATATGGCCGGCCCATTGCCACTTCAGCTTTATAATCCGTTGGGCTATGTCGGTCACTCTGGTTTTACTGCGGATATCCTCATTTCTGAGTCTATCACGCAGAGAAACTCCGAGCATAGCCCTCTCCATAGCTCGCTGAGCGACCTTGAGCGTCCTCATACGGCCAGCAGTGAAGGACCACGTGTCTGATCCGTAAGTCATCACTGGCAACACGCACTGGTTGTACACTTTAGTTTTCAGAGATTGAGGTATACCTGACGAGAAGATGTGTCGTAATTTCCCGAACGCTGCCCAGCCGAGTTGAATCCGTCGATTGACCTCTCGGTCGAAGTTGGACTTACCTAGTCGGACTATTTGTCCCAGGTAAACGTACTCGTCAACAACTTCGAGCATAGTGCTCCCAACAACTACCGGCATAGGTGTGACATGGACATTAAACATGATCTTTGTTTTGTCCATGTTCATCTTAAGACCTATCCGTTGGGAGACACCATTGAGGTCATTGAGCATAGTGCTAAGGTTCTCCAGCGATTCTGCCATAAGGACTATATCGTCGGCAAATCGAAGGTGAGTGATGTCCTCGCCATTGATGTTAATACCGTATCCTTTCCAGTCCTGTAACTTGAAAACGTCTTCCAACGCAGCGGTGAAGAGTTTCGGGGATATAACGTCACCCTGTCTTACACCTCTCTGCAGTTGGATAGGTTTCGAGCTCTGGTTCTGTACTCGGATAGCCATCGTAGCCCTACTGTACAAACACTTCAGCACTTCGATATATCGACAGTCAACTTGACATCCGCTGAAGGGACTGTAGCACCGCCCAAATTTCGACGGAATCAAAGGCTTTCTCATAGTCCACATACGCCAGGCAAAGTGGCAGATTGTACTCTTCGGTCTTCTGTACAATCTGCCGCAGGGTATGTATGTGGTCTATGGTACTGAAGCCTTTTCGGAAACCGGCTTGTTCGGGAGGCTGGAAGTCGTCGAGTCTGCGTGCGAGACGATTCGTAATGACTCTCGAAAACAGCACGTAGACGCGGCTCAGAAGGGATCGTTATCGGTCTTTGGCGTTATCGCTTTTAAAACGAACAGCTCACGCCTCCGGAGTAGTGCCACCATGGAGGACGGAATGGAAGAGCCTCTGAAGGACTTCAAGTACCGGTGTTCCACCCGCTTTCAGAAGCCCCGCTGTAATTCCATCCTCGCCCGGGAACTTGCCGTTTTTAAGGTGCTGGGGAGCCATTCTAATCTCGCTCAGACTGACGTCCGGGATATCATCGGAATAGTGTCGGATAAGACCCGCTCTTGGATCGTTACTCACACTTGCGTGTGGCTCCAACGATGATGTGTACAGCTGCTCATAGAACCTCTCAATCTCACTCAGAATCTCAGGTGTCCCGGAAACGATGCTGCCACACTCAGTCTTCAGCTTTGACAGTTGGCTCTTTCTGGCAGACAAATCTCTGGTGAAGACTTTGGAGACCTGGTTCCGTTCGATCGCTTCTTTAATACGAGCAGTATTAAAGTTGCGTAAGTCTCGCCGCATGCATTTGGAGATCTGTCTGTTCAGTTGCCTGTATGCTGTCAAATCTGTTGACGATTGCAGCCTCATCTCCCGTCTAACAGCCATGAGATTAAGAGTGTGATCGGAGAGCTTTTTGTGTTCTTCTGCGGCGGGTCTTGCAGAACTTAGCTCCGAACCGCATGGACAGTTTCCACGAGCTTGTCATTCATATCGTCCACTGCATTGCAATCTTCTAGGCACTGAAAGCGGTTACGTAACTCGAGCTGAAAAGTCTCGGGATTCTGGATCAGAGCACGAGGGGGACGGAGCGTTGACTTCATTAGACGAGACCTCTCCAACTTAACATTAAGGTTCAGTGTGCCTCTAACGCGCTGCCAGTTTTCACCTTTGCAATCACTTAGACATCACTGAACAGTTGGCGTCTGGTCGTCATAATGAAGTCAATCTCATTTTTTTTTGTCGAACCGTCGGAGCTCGACCAGGTCCACTTCCTGAGGGGCCGCTTCTGGAAGAAAGAGTTCATCATAAAGAGTCCCTCTTTCTCCATAAAGTCAGCCAGCGGAAGGCCCCTACGGTTCCATTGCCCCACTCCAAATTTCCCAACTTCAGCTCACCGCCTTCTCTTGTGCCTAGTTTTGCGTTGAAGTCTCCCATCAAAACCGTGTAGTGGGTTTTGGAGGAATGCATGGCTCTAGAAATATCCTCATACATTTCCTCCACCTCCTAATCGGGATGTGCCGAGGTTGGTGCGTAGACCTGTATGACCTTCAGCGAATACCGTTTGGTGATTCTGAGTATCAGGTACGCGACCCTCGTCGACACACTCCCAATATTTACAACGTTGGTGACGAGAGACTTGTGGACGATAAATCCGACACCTCCTTGGGACAGATGGTTGCCCTCCCGGTGATAGAACAAGTTGCCGGACTCGAGGATTACCGTGTCCTCCCCCTCTCTTCGGACCTCAGATAATTCCAATAATATCCCAGCGCAACTTGTCTACCTCTTCTTCCAGCTCCAGTATCTTCTCGTCAGTCCTCAGGGTGCGTGCGTTATACGTTGCCAGGTCGAGTCGTCGTAGGTGGCAACCGAACCTCTACCGGAGATTCTTAGCACCCCTGCCCCGCCGTTACCATGGTCTCCAATGTAGCCAGGAATAGCGGGGCCGCCGGGGACTGGGGGCCGTTTATTTGCGTCGTTGCTCATGGGGGGATATTTGCCATAGTTGCCACGCTTGGCGAGCGGGTTGGCAACCGCAGTTTTTTATTATGTTATTGTTGTTATTAGGAAGATGCTGCTGCCCATCTCCTTTTTGTGTCCCTCTGTCGCCTCTTACGACACCCACGGGAAGATATGGCGTAGTGGATATTCTCAACCGCCACTACACGGTAATTTATTTAATTATTTATTTTGCTTACAGTTCGTGTCACAGTGTAACGAGGGAGCGCGCAATACCGAGCGTATTGAAGAGATGTTCCGGCTGGCCAAAGCGATCGAGTTTCCGCCACAAGTTCGCGATCCACCTTTATTAGGACCAGCCTGTTCGCGGAGAGACCGCAAGTACGTTTTAATAAACACTGTATAAAGTATGGATACACGCAAGCACACACGCCCACACACACACAAACAAGATCGGTCCAGCCAGAGGAGTTTTGTGACAAACACACATACAAAAGAATTATATTATTATATATAATGATATTTAAAAAGATATAAACGTCTGTTCGTTACCGTTTTTTGCAGTTTATCACATATATTGCCTCAGTGACCACAGTTTTTGTTTTTTATAACGCTGCTGTCCATCGTCTGATCTGTTTCCCTCTGTCGGACCTAACAACACCCACGGGAAAATATGGAGCAGTTTATATTCATACACCACCACTACACTGTCAAGTGGTTCGTCCGTTAGTGATCGTGTAACTTCTAACCACCATTTTTCTAATAAATAGTTTTTCATATTACCATTTATTATTTACAGACCAGTTAGATGGCTGGTACGGTCCGGTGAAGTAACACATCTGATATGGAAAGCAGATGAACTGAAGCTGACATTCGGCAAGAAATTCCACAAGGTGCAGTTATATCTCTTCTTGTTCAACGATCTGCTCGTCATCACTAAAAAGAAAGGGTTCGTATATTCCCTTACGTCTTATTGTAGAACTTTTGGTACGAAATGCTTTTTTTTTTCATGAAACGAAAAACCACAGTATGATTTTCTCCTGTATCGTGGGGGCAGTTTACATACACAAATTTCACAAGGACAAACATCCAGAACCGAAACAATTATTCACAGGTCATACAAATAATTGTTGCGTGCTAAACTGACACTACGTTGGCAAAGATGAATCGATTGCATGGGTGATTACTTTGATTAATTGAAATAAAAATATAGAAAAAAAATTACGTTAACTTATTATTTCATATAAAATGGCAAATTCATAGGTAAATACTTAATATATGGCTTTAAAATCCTGACTTCATACGCCATTTACGTGATGCGATGGGGTCAAATAAAAGTCTAAAGGTGTTAGCTCTGGTGATCTCGCCGGTCAGTTCACAGGTCCATTGCGACTTTTCCACCAAATCTGACTTGGTTGTTCAGATATGTGCGCACAGATCGTTCTTAATGTGCTGGACATTCGTCGCGCTGGAAGTACATTCCTTGAAGATGGCTCAGAGGAACGATTTTCAACATTGTGTCGATGACGGGACGTATCATTGTCTGCAAATTATGCGTTATTCCAGTCAATCAACCTTCAACCCTTATTGGACTAGTGATGTAGTCGTTAATGATTACCACCCAAACTTTAACAGAGAAATGAGGTTATTGAAAGAAAGAAAGAAAAAACATTTATTCACGGTCTAATCATAATAGATACAAAACAAAGCAAGAAATTGGAATTAAACAGAAAATAAAACAATATTTCCATAAATTAACAAAAATGTATAAAAATAATATAAAATGAGTCTGTGTAGTAGCATAAGACCGTGAAATGGACAGGACTCAGTAAAAATCGAGATACAGAAACACGAATTGCTCTGATCCCGACACTGGTTTTCAGTCCGGCCCGCACTACGACGTAACTCGGACGGCTGCCTCAATGCACATGCTATAATGCGACGCGGAATATATAAAAAAAAATATATGTTTTTAAATTTTAATTCACATAAATAGTGGATATCATTAGTCTAATGAAGGTAAGTACAAAATAGAATTAACGTTTTCCTTCTAAATATATCAATTTTATTTATTAAGAATGCGGAATAAACGGTGGCTAAAGAATAAAGGTAAGAAAATGATTGTCAGAAAAAGTAAATTTATTATATAAATATTTAAATAAAATAGTTTTATATATTATATAAAGTGAAAATTAAAAATATCTATATAATTTATGGGACTGAGATTACTGACGTGTTGAAAGAACTTAACCTCCTACCAGTTTATTTTATAGATCGGAATTTTTTTTATTCAGCAATTCAATTTTTTTTATTGAGCATGTTCTTTGATTTTGTTTGGGTTTTTGAAACTCCACCAGTGCTCATTGTGCACGTTGTAAATTCGAACGCGGGTAAATATCGACTCTTCGCACCGTCTAAGTTTTTACCAGACAAGACATAAAATCTCGGCGGCCTTGCGCCTGCGACCCTACGGCGTGGCGGGTGTGGCGAGTGCGTTACAAGTTCATTGTTTTATTGACGTTCGTAAAGTAGGCTCATTAAATTTCATTTTCATTTCATATCAATAAAAAAATTCTACTGAAGACTTGGCTGTATGGGCATAGTTCCCTTTGCCTACCCAGAAAGGGTGTAGAAAACAAAAAAATCTCTGCTTATATTCTTTTACGTATGGAGTGTAGAAGTAAGGAGAACCAACTCCATAAAAAAGTGTCCGTAGGAAAGCGCCAAATAAGGTTGGCGCCATTACAGCTAGCGGGTAAATTTTAAAGAACTTTTTATGATTTTTTTATTGTTTTAAATACTGCAGTTTCATTAACTACTCTAATCCCCATAAATATTATATTCCTCAACTCAGCACACTTCACTCCGTCGACAACTGCTAAGTTTATTTCATACCCTCTAGCTACTCCATTCCACGCTATTATGGAGAATTTTTGAACTTTATTTACTGCTTACAGATGGACACTTTTTCAACTATTCTCCTATCTGAGATGGTTCTCCTTACCTTTATACCCCATGCTTTTACGATTGGCGCCATTTTCCAAAAATGTTCTTTGCGAGTTTAGTTGTTTGTTGAACAAAATGAGTAATTTCGACGATATTTTATTTGAATTAACACCCCCGGAACTCAGTATAATTGCACAAAATGCTTCGGAGAACATTTTTCGGAAAAGTCAAAAAGTCTACATATTATCTACATACGACGAATTTATTGCTTGGAGAGAAGAGAAAAAAAGCAAATAGTTTTTCAGAAAATGTTATGTTGGAATACTTCTCCGAACTCTCAGCAAAATTAAAACCTTCTACGTTATGGTCGAGGTTTTCAATAATAAAAAGTATACTGAAAATAAGGAACAACGTGGATATAAGTGAATACCCAAAACTAAATGCTTTCTTAAAACGACAATCAAACGGTTTTACATCTAAAAAGTCAAAAATATTAACATCGAATGAAGTGGAAAGGTTTTTGAACGAAGCTCCGATGATCGTTATTTAGCCACAAAGGTAATTTATTAATAAATACTTATATTTTTCTTTAGTATTCAGTTTACGAAATCGCAAAATACAGTTGATATATTATTTAAAAAAATATTAATCAAATCCCCTTTTTTGAAGGTTGCGCTTATTTTTGGCGTTGTTGGAGCTTGCCGCAGAGAGGAGTTGCCAATTTTACTTTAAAAGATATTGAAGCCCATGGAAAAATGCTACTAATCAAGATTCCGAATACAAAAAGTAAGATACCGAGAAGCTTTGTTGTTGAAGGAGATTTTCTTAGAATAGTGCAAAAATATATGAATCAGCGGTCCCAAAAAGCAAAAACCGACCGTGTTTTTCCAAAATTATCAAAAAGGGAAGTGTACAGCTCAAGCAATCGGGATAAACAAATTTGGTAATATGTCAAAAGAAATAGCTACGTTTCTTGGTCTGCCGGATGCTGAGTATTATACTGGGCACAGCTTCAGGAGGACCTCTGCTACATTATTGGCAGATTCAGGAGCCAATTAGACGTCCTTAAAGTGACTAGGAGGTTGGAAGTCAGACATAGTTGCAGAAGGCTATATTGCTGATTCATTAAACAACAAACTAGAAATTGGGAAAAAAATCACACAATCCATTAATTTAACTGAAGAGAACGTTCGTCCATCTACCTTCGTTGATAATGATAATTCATCAGATCTAATTCCATCAACTAGCAAACGCCATTGTATAACACCTTTGACAAATATATACAAACAGTAAATATGCAACCTAAATCTTCCCCAGTTAGTATAAAAAACTGTACCAATTTCAATGTATATGTGAATTATAACTTTTATAAGAAATAAATGATTAGTTAGTTGAGTTTATTGTGTTTTTATTATTTTATTAAATTGCTTCATTTTTTCGGAACTGTATTAAAAATATTGTTCATTACACGTGCGGAACCGTCATGGCAACTTGTTCCGACTGTCAACCCTCACATTCGGCTGCGCCTCGGCTTGAATAGACATTTGTCAGAACTCTTTGCAATTACAGGCTTTCCGCACTCGTAATGAAATATACTTTTTCAATCGGACTGGTAGTTCCAAAGATTAGCGTGTTAAAACAAACAAACAAAAACACTTCCGCTTCCATCATCATCATCATTACAGCCTATCACAAGTCCACTCTTAACATTAGTCCCCCAAGGAATACCACAAAGCACAGTCCTGAGCCACCTGCATCCATCGACTTCCTGCATGTCTTACCAGATCGTCACTCCATCTAGTGGGGGGTCGCCCTACACTTGCGCTTTATTATATTATTATTTGACTTGATTAAAGTGATAAAACCTACAGGGTTTCGGTGGTGAGTAAGAATCCCGAATCACATAAAGTTAGCGGTGTTTCACCACCGTGGCTCGGAAAGCAATTAAAGCCGTTGGTCCTGAGCCTGATCTCTCTCCAGTCGTGCCGTACTATCGGACTATAGGCATGAGCCGCATGAGGGAATAAAGAGTGCACCTGTGCACATACACTCATACACTATAATCCTGTCTTTATGCTAACCTCTGTTGCCGCCGTGACCGAAATTCGTCACATTACTATTATTATCATTTAGCCTCAAGTAGTAAGAGAAAGTTTGTGTTGTGGTGCAGGGAGGAGTCGTTCGCGGCTGTGGACTGGTGCGCGCGGTCGCTGCTGGAGACGTGCGGCGGCGAGGCGGCGCCGCCCGCCGCCAAGCACGCGCTGCTGCTCACGCTACTGGAGAACCGCGACGCACGCACCGTCGAGATGGTGAGCCCGCGCTCATACAATTGATCACACATACATACACATACATCCGCCGCCCGCCGCCAAGCACGCGCTGCTGCTCACGCTGCTGGAGAACCGCGACGCGCGCACCGTCGAGATGGTGAGCCCGCGCTCATACAACTGATCACACATACATACACATACATCCGCCGCCCGCCGCCAAGCACGCGCTGCTGCTCACGCTGCTGGAGAACCGCGACGCGCGCACCGTCGAGATGGTGAGCCCGCGCTCATACAACTGATCACACATACATACACATACATCCGCCGCCCGCCGCCAAGCACGCGCTGCTGCTCACGCTGCTGGAGAACCGCGACGCGCGCACCGTCGAGATGGTGAGCCCGCGCTCATACAACTGATCACACATACATACACATACATCCGCCGCCCGCCGCCAAGCACGCGCTGCTGCTCACGCTGCTGGAGAACCGCGACGCGCGCACCGTCGAGATGGTGAGCCCGCGCTCATACAACTGGTCACACATACATACACATACATCCGCCGCCCGCCGCCAAGCACGCGCTGCTGCTCACGCTGCTGGAGAACCGCGACGCGCGCACCGTCGAGATGGTGAGCCCGCGCTCATACAACTGGTCACACATACATACACATACATCCGCCGCCCGCCGCCAAGCACGCGCTGCTGCTCACGCTGCTGGAGAACCGCGACGCGCGCACCGTCGAGATGGTGAGCCCGCGCTCATACAACTGATCACACATACATACACATACATCCGCCGCCCGCCGTCCAAGCACGCGCTGCTGCTCACGCTGCTGGAGAACCGCGACGCGCGCACCGTCGAGATGGTGAGCCCGCGCTCATACAACTGATCACACATACATACACATACATCCGCCGCCCGCCGCCAAGCACGCGCTGCTGCTCACGCTGCTGGAGAACCGCGACGCGCGCACCGTCGAGATGGTGAGCCCGCGCTCATACAACTGATCACACATACATACACATACATCCGCCGCCCGCCGTCAAGCACGCGCTGCTGCTCACGCTGCTGGAGAACCGCGACGCACGCACCGTCCAGATGGTGAGCCCGCGCTCATACAACTGATCACACATACATACACATACATCCGCCGCCCGCCGCCAAGCACGCGCTGCTGCTCACGCTGCTGGAGAACCGCGACGCGCGCACCGTCGAGATGGTGAGCCCGCGCTCATACAACTGGTCACACATACATACACATACATCCGCCGCCCGCCGCCAAGCACGCGCTGCTGCTCACGCTGCTGGAGAACCGCGACGCACGCACCGTCGAGATGGTGAGCCCGCGCTCATACAACTGATCACACATACATACACATACATCCATCGCCCGCCGTCAAGCACGCGCTGCTGCTCACGCTGCTGGAGAACCGCGACGCACGCACCGTCGAGATGGTGAGCCCGCGCTCATACAACTGATCACACATACATACACATACATCCGCCGCCCGCCGCCAAGCACGCGCTGCTGCTCACGCTGCTGGAGAACCGCGACGCACGCACCGTCCAGATGGTGAGCCCGCGCTCATACAACTGATCACACATACATACACATACATCCGCCGCCCGCCGCCAAGCACGCGCTGCTGAGGGAGAACCGCGACGCACGCACCGTCGAGATGGTGAGCCCGCGCTCATACAACTGATCACACATACATACAGCATACATTGCCTATATTTTATCAAAAAATCTTTTAATTTTAAGAAAATATATATGTATATAATTTTTGAACAATATATTTTGCTCTTTGCCCTTGAACCTGTCTACCCTGCGAAGTGACAAGGTCAAAGATGCCTACTAAATTTATTGTTTTATTACCGTTCGTAAAGTATCGATCCATCCTGGATATGATTTGAATTTCGATAGATTTTAATTAATTTATTTATTTAATTCAAAATTTTTGTTTTTATTTTTATTAAAATGTCAGTGCCATAAGCTTTTACTGCATTTACAGGATACACCATATATTTTTCCAGGCGGTAAAAAAGGTCATCCAGTATATATAACAATAGATCATATCCAGGCGGAGTTGGAGCAGATCGCTATTATATAACAAAAAAGCTCGTTACGGAGAACGAAAGTAAAGTAAAGTTACAGCCTATATACGTCCCACTGCTGGGCACAAGCCTCCCCTCATTTCTGAGAGGGCTAAAACCCTCGCATTGGGGCAGCGCGACGGGCAAGGAAGTGTCCGTCGCGCTGCCCCAATGCGTGTTGGCGAACTTCACATATCTTCGAAATATTTTTTTCTTATTCCTCAGACATGCAGATTTCCTCACGATGTTTTCCTTCACCGCCGAGCACGTGGTAAATCAGCACTTAAAATTGCAATTAACAATTTCATTGGTGCCGGCGGGGATCGAACCCGGGTTACTCGCGTTCTGTTATATTTACAGCGAGCGTTAACCATCTGAGCTACCACGGCTCATTAGAACGAAACGTTTCTTTAATATAAAGTTCGGTCTATAACGTGTGTTACAAATGAGCAAGTCTAGGCGTCTATTGCAGTACGTGCACGAGTGCGCGCGCGAGGCGCTAGCCGTGACATGTCCTGTATCATGTATTGCAGCTGGTGTCGTGCGCGAGCGAGACGGAGGTGCGGCGGTGGGGCGAGGCGCTGTCGCCGCCCGAGGCGCGCGCGGGCGAGGCGGTGTACGCGGGCTGGGACTGCCCGCAGGTGGCCGCGCTGCACGCCTACACGCCCGCGCAGCCCGACGAGCTGCCGCTCGCCGAGGGCGACGTCGTCAACGTCACGCGCAAGACCCAAGAGGGTGAGCCACGCACACAGCATGCATGTTTTTTTGACTAACACTAGCGTGGGCGGCAGATCTTTAGGGGCCAAAAAGCCAGCTGCTAGCCTTCATTTTCAAGGGGAAATATTTAAAATACTACCTCAAATGGCTTAGCAATATCCTCTGTTACGTCGAAAATATTGCAGCATTAATTTTGAAATAAATATATGGTAAAGTTGAGGATTAATGTTAAGTACTATGTTAGACGAAAACACGATTCCGTAAAATTAGCCACCAAAGTTAGCTCCGAACTGAACAATAAACCGCTGTTATTCATAAAATATTTTAAATTAGATCATGAAATTTTGCATACTAACTGAACTAATTATAAAGCAGGGCTTATGTTTTATATATTTTTTTAAATACAATTATTTTCACTGTAAAAAGAAATTACCCTAACTATCGGCGTCTTGAAGCTTGTTTCCTGCCGCTCGGCTAGTCTCGCTTAGACTTTTGAAGGGGGAAGCTGTGTCACTTACGATCAGAATACACATTACGAAACAGGACGACGTAAAATTAAAATGGGAAATAACCGTAATAAAAATAAGAAGCGGCTGGCTTGGCGTTAAGAAACAGGCATAAATATGATAAACCTAATGAAATAAGTGTCTAACGACTTTTCTACTTACAGTATTAGTGATTACAAACATGTCGGTACATAGCATACGACGCGCGGGGAAGTGGGGGCGAAATAAGAATTTGATCTGAGTTACTATATCCCCTTAATTATTGTTAGTAAAACACTCAAACAATCCAAAAAATAGCTCTCACTATACTTATTAGTATTTTATTTAAAATATAACTTACACGAAATAATATGTATGAGATAAATATAAAAAATATATTATTAAGTTTTTTTTGTTCCCATTCCCATATATGAAACATGCACTAAAGAAAAGTTTTACTGATTTTTTTTTATAATACTGCAGCGATGTATAAAATAATAGATTAAAGGGTTGAGTTAACTTTACCGTATATGCAAGTTTTTTGGTTTTCTCTCAGCCTCAGCCACCACACGGCCAATAACCAAGTAAGCTCTTTTCCTTAACCCTGTGAAAAAACACTTTATTTACGATAGTGTGAGAATACATTGGCAATGTGTTGCGTAGGTTGGTACTATGGCGAACGAACGCGGGACGGCGAAGCGGGCTGGTTCCCGGGCTCGTACACGGTGGAGATCGCGTCAGCGCACGTGCGCGCGCGCAACCTGCGCCAGCGGTACCGCTTGCTGGCGCTCTCCGGCACATACCTCGGCAACAGGAAGCGCGCCGCGTGACCACGTGACCACGCGACTGCACGTGCAACTGCTTACTCCCGCTCCCCGTAACATTATTTAGGCGCCGGAAGCGAGCCGCGCGACCACGTGACCATATGACTACACGACAACACATGCATTTAGCGCCAACGCTACAGCCTACTCGCGCTTTCCGCCTCATACCTCGGGCACAGAAGATACGTCATGTGACCAAATGACCAGGTGACCACATGACTACACGTGCGATTGGCGTCAGCGCTAGTGCCTGCTCCCGCTCTCCTCACGTACTCTTCTGACACAGGTAGCGCTCGGCGTAGCTACGTGCCTACATACATCAAGACCAAAACAGGACACTTAACAACAGAAAACACATTTGACATAGATCAAAATATGATATGTACTTGTGAATTTAAATGTATTTTGTAAAATGTATGTAATTAGAAGATAAAAGGAAACAATGTGCGTTCGTTAAAGTTTTGGGACCAAATATTAACATAAATATATTTTGCTACTTTGTCATTAAAACAATTCGGAAGTTTGACATATTCCATAAATTATTATGTATAGTTGGCGTCGGGTTCCATACAATAAATTAATGAAAATATTATGTAACTTCATACGGTGTTTTAACGTACGTGCATGAAAATCAATCAAAACCGCTAGTTTTGCTACAGGAATTATATTTTATTTTAATAATTTTACACATGGTGTAGATAAATATTTTGTCACTAGGCGAAAGTTAGGATTAAATTATGCCTAAGAAATAAAGTGACGTTGCCGCTCTAATTTGATTCTAATTTGTTTGTCCAATGTGGTGCTACAGGTTGTTCTTGCATGTCCAACATTTAAAGTAATAAAATATAATTTATTTGAGGTTACCTTTTTAATTTTGACATAAGAACAATATTACCTAATTTGAAATCCTTTTTCTACATAATCGTGACCACATGAGTAAAGCCGAGGTTACATTTATTGTATGTTAAGCCTCGACCTTGGATAAAACCTAGAAGACCTAGATTATTTTTCACTCGCACTCATATGACAACATAAGAAATGTGGCGTCATAACAGCTAAATATCATTTTTGAACTCTTGTATTTCATCTGTAACTTACCTACCTACGTATTAAGTCTTAGGGTATAGTTGTATGTCCGTCCAAGCACTGCCTCAAGTGTAGGGCCTCATTATTAAAAATACTAACAGTGTTTTTAAATATATATAAAAGAATAACGATTAAAAATAATGGAATGAAAAATGAAATTCCGTCACCGGAAATCTGTGAATATTTTGGTGCTTATTTATTATACTGTTAGGTTGAAACAAACAATTCTCTAGTTTGTTTTGTTCCATATCCCATAATAATTATCATTTAAATGTGTTATGATCAAGTCAAAAGTGCATATGTCTGTATAAAAATTAAAAATATGTTACTATGTGTGGATCACATTCATCATTAGCAAATAGTGTTTTATTTTTTAAATATTTTTATAAATTTTAATTGTAGAATATTTTGTGAAATGTACAGTTACATTTGAGATTCACAGCAATTCGTTGTACAGTATACCTACATTTAACATTTACCATACAGTAGTCTTAGTGCATATGTTATTCGTTGTATTTTGCTAAGCAAATAGTTTTACTTGGCCGCTATAAAAATTACCTAGTCATTGAGCGGAAAAGTAACAAATCGAAATTGTCATTAAAATATTTTTTATGAATTGATCCGATCTTTACTTTTATAGTTTTAACATTCCTTAATGATATTATGTTTTAACTTTAGCAAAATAATAAACAATAATAGCAGCGATGGTTATTTACTATTGTATTAAGAACGCAATAATAAAAAATATTCCTCAACGTTTTGATAACGTATCATTATAAGTTTTAATCTTCAAAGATAAGCTACCATCTACAATAAGGTTTTAACCATTAAGATTTCTACAAATTTGTGTACAAATAACTTTTTCATTTTTCATTTTTTTTTCAAAACAGACGGATTGAATCAACTTTTTTTCAATTACTTTTATAATATGAATGATGTTGATAAGTATATGTTCAAAAATTAATTGTGTTTTGTAATCCCAAACCTACACAGTATTTAATCTTATAAACTCAAGTTCTTTTTCTTTGTATAAAACTTTCCATTTCAAAAAAAAACATCATCAGAAAAAATCTCGAGTTACCTTCAAATCGCGCTTAAATAAATTTTAGGTACTTCAAAAATATTATGTCGATATTCTATTAGATCATAATGTGATTAAATAATTGGGATATTTTTAGAGACATGCTATTTAATTGTTTGTATTTGTATTATAGCGTCTATAAACTGTGTACTGGTGGTACCTACTTAAGTAAATTATTTTAATTGTATATATTTAATATAAAATGCTGAAACTTATCCTTATTGTGTTACTATAAAATAAACATTTTTTATAATAGTTTGTCATTATTAGTTTACTCCGGCCACACCCATAAGAATTGAATCCATCCTTTCCAGTCCACTTCCACTAAACACTGGCCTCCACCATACATTGCCTCATTGCGATATTGGAATTGCAATATCTAGACACGCGGTAGCGTGTCAAGCCAAGTTCACGCAGAACATTACACGAACAACGTAATATTACACGAACCATTTGGAGCCACTTTTGACCCCCTCATAACTCAAAAACTATTTTACATAAACGTGTCAATTTTGGTTCATATATTGAGATTTGCGAGACACATATGTAATTCAAATTTCGTAAACACATCTCTAACGGTTATTTAGATATTAACGTCCAAAAATCGTCATTTTTATCACTGACTGACCTAGGAAAGTTCAAAATTTGGCATGCAGATAGGTAATTAGGTGAATACAAAGGAATAAATCAGAAACTGGTAAATTTTTATCATTTTATTATAATTTTTCACTTAGCTGATTCTATTGGGAACACTAAACTTTACACGGCGCGCGGTGCGACGCCGGAACAGCGGGGTGGGAGCGATGCGGCAGTCGGCCGCGCTCATAAGCGCGAGCGCCGTCTTGTTGTTCGGTTGTCACTCGATATCCGACCTATATAGGTTGCGATTTATGCTACGAAATTCATAGGTTTACTTAAAAAATACTTCTATATTTGTGGTTATATTATTAATACAATTATTTTAGTAAGTAGGTACCGCGTATCTAGATGGTATAGGCAATAGTTTAAATCAAAAATTAATAATAATAATTTTAGTATAGTTATAAGTAGGTATATATGTATACTTAACTCTGAATGAGTTTGAAAATGAGAACCTATTAGTATGTTAGCAAATTGTTTTTCTTGAGAATTCAACAGATAACAGGAATTTGAATAATGATTTCTTAAATTTACGCGAACACTACACATTGAATAAAACTTCCATTAAAACATACTACAAGCCGCCGAAAGAGATTAGTCAATTTTTACCATGCCAAGCGTAATACCTCTACAAGATGCAGGAGTGTACAAGTTAGATTGTGAATGTGGTCTCTGTTACATACACAGGCTGCACTAAAAGTATCGGGAATGGAATATTTCCACTGTTCCTGTCATATTAAAATCTTTTTAATTGAAAACTCCTTGGTTTTAAAAATCGAATACCATTTATTTATTTTAAAAAAAAGATTCTCGGTCTTTCACAAGGTTTTGTCAAACTTGTTTAGTCGTTGAGAAAATGAAATCGACTCGAGAAAATTCAAGACCGATGATTTATTATGACTTTCGAAGTGGTTTAACACAAAAACAGTGTGTTGACCGGATGATTTCTGCATTTGGTGATGAAGCCCCATCCAAAACCACAATTTATCGCTGGTTTGCTGAATTTCAACGTGGACGTGTCAAGCTCAGTGATGATCCCCGTCAAGGTCGTCCAAAAACTGCAGTCACCCAAGAAAACGTTGATGCTGTGCGTAAGCTGATTGAGGAAGATCGACATGTGACATACCGCGAAATTCAGGCAACTTTAGACATTGGCATGAGTCAAATACAAATAATCTTGCATGAACAATTAGGTGTAAAAAAGTTGTTTTCCCGATGGATACCGCATTCGCTCTGTGAAGAGCAAAAAGCGGCTCGCGTTACTTGGTGCGTCAGAACTCTCGAAAGATCCCACGCAGGATCCTCAAATGCTGTATTACAACATCGTATCAGGCGACGAATCCTGAATATACGCGTACGAACCCGAAACAAAAAAGCAGTCACGAGTTTGGGTGTTCGAAAATGAGTTAAAGCCAACAAACATTCATTCACGGAGTGTTGCAAAAAAAATGGTGGCCACGTTTGTCTCCAAAACCGGCCATGTTACGACTATTCCTCTTGAGGGACAAAGAACGGTTAATGCAGAATGGTATGCTAGCATTTGTTTGCCACAGGGTTGTTTCTGAACTCCGTAAAGAGAACAGCAACCGCCGCATCATCCTCCATCACGACAATGCGAGTTCTCACACCGCACACAGAACAAAAGAGTTTTTAGAGCAAGAAAACATAGAATTATTAGACCATCCGCCGTACAGCCCCGACCTAAGCCCTAATGATTTCTATACTTTCCCTAAAATAAAGAATAAATTGCGTGGACAGAGATTTTCATCACCTGAAGAAGCTGTGGACGCCTACAAAACGGCCATTTTGGAGACCCCAACTTCCGAATGGAATGGTTGCTTCAATGATTGGTTCCATCGTATGGAAAAATGTGTCAAATTTCGCGAAGAATACTTCGAAAAGTAATAAATACATTTTTAAATAGTAATGTTGTGTCAGTTCCTTGATTCCCGAAATTTTCAGTGCCGCCCTCGTAGGTCAAACAAGAAGATCCATAAAAACCCGCGTGAAAGAACATATAGCTGACGTGAAGCACCGACGCTCCGGGAAGTCTGCAGTCTGTGAACATGTTCAAGATCGTCCCCACCACTGATTTGATAAACCACAACTCGCAAAAGAACACCGATTCCTACCAAGGATGATACGTGAGGCTATTGAAAATAAAAAACATTCTAATTTCAATAGAGAAGATGGTTGGGTGCTGCCATCTGCTTGGGATCCTATAATTAACAAAATTAAACCTAAACCCAAGCATACCACTGCAAGACTTCGCATAGATCGGACCATAAACAATAATTAAAAAAGCTGACGGTACTCCGGGTTTAACAATGACATCGGGACGTCAGTCATCTCAGTCCCCCGTGACCGTGGGTGCTGGAAAGCGCCCGAAACGTCGGGAATTAAAAATAAAAGTAATTAATAGTAAAAATAAACGCGATGAAATCCGTAAAAGTAGTTTCAGACAATGGTATTAATTTTGTTATAAATAAATACCTACTAATAATTTATGTACAAAAAGTAATGATATCCCATCAAAAACATAAATGTGAAATGAGAGCCAAGTTCAATATTATGATATATGTCTTGGTTGTTCACTTCCACGACAAAAGAAGTGAGATCTAAATGGTTGCCAAGTTCAATGGTCAGTCCTTTATAGCAACATAAAATATCATTTCTTCTTATAACTTAGGATAATATATTGCTAAGTTGCTTTTTATACGAATTATATTATAGCCTTCGCAAGTTCTAAACTTGTTGGTTCTTATTTTATTATTCCGAAAATTTCGCTTGGTGTTAAAAACTAGCCATCGAACAGGATATTTCGTATATGAGAACTAGCCAAGTCAGACCTTAGGCTACAATATATTATCCTAAGTTATAAGAAGAAATGATATTTTATGTTGCTATAAAGGACTGACCATTGAACTTGGCACCCATTTAGATCTCACTTCTTTTGTCGTTGAAGTCAACAACCAAGGCATATATCATAATATTGAACTTGGCTCTCATTTCACATTTATGTTTTTGATGGGTTATATGCTACAGAAACACATAAGTGAGTTTATCAGAATTGCATTAATATCATACATCTAACAAAACCTTTTTATATCGGGCACGTCTTCCGACGTGTCTTTATGAAGGAAAAATTGCCCCGGAATCGGAAATGCTTTAATTACATTTTCTTGTCGGATTGATGATATTTGCCATGTGACCACAGAAATCGTAATAATAAGACAATAGAAGTCGCATAGACGCGTGACCTTGTCGCCGCTTATATGGGTTGACGAACATGATTCACCATTTTGTGATTTAGTTGTGCGGGGAACGTCGTACGTGAATTTTTGTTATTATAAATTTATAATGGTGCACTGCGGCATAATCAGTTGTAAAAACTCATCAAGCACGTGTAATTAAACTAATAAAGGCATAACACTTCGTCAGTAAGTTGATTATTTATTAATTATCATTGTTTTAATTTATATCTTGATGAATACTTTACTATAACATTTACCTTTGCAAACTCATTTATTACTTTTCGTATTGTACAATTACCTGCTTTTGTTCTACCGTAATACGCGACACACTCAACGTTCACAAACTCGCCGAGCAATGTAATGTGAAACATTAGATATCATTGTGCATTGTGTATGTTTGTAATACGGTAAGATGTGGCGACATCGTTTTTGGAAGTAATCTAGCGCTAATTCATTTCTTTTGTCTTATTATTACGATTTCTGTGGCTGTGACGCTCGGCAGGCGGGTTGCAACCAGTTTTTTATTTAAATTAATTTGATATGAAGATGCTGCTCATCTCCTGTTTTAATTTTCAAACGACTTCGAAAAAGAAGGAGGTTCTCAATTCAACTGCAATTTTATGTGTTGTCTCAGAACTTTTTTCTAGGTGAACCGATTTTGATGTTTTTTTTTTTATACGTAAGCTGCTGCTTCTCATGTGGTCTCACTCTCATGTGATCAAATTCTGACCAATAGTTTTTGAGTTATCTTTAATAATGCGTATTTTATTGACTTCCGACTACATTAATGATGTTCCCACTTTATTTATATTAAGTCGGTTGTGCAAAATTTTTAATTTCACCACTTATTTTCTGTCGGCTTTTAAGACACCTACGGGATGATTTGGAGTAGTTGATATTCTTAAACCGCCTTTACACGGTCAACAACTTATCTCTGGACAATTGAGTACTATTTTTCATAACTCAGTTCTTTGACTGCAGTATCGAAGAACAAGAGTTATTGAAAGTGAATCCGACATAACTCGTCTTTGCCCTCGCGAGGCGGGTATGAGATTTCCCCATGTTAAAAAAGGCCATACGCAGGCGTGCCCCTCTGTCTAATGTAAAGTATAAGGCCACGCGGTCCTATGCATACAATAAAACTAGTTGCAACCGTACCGCCAACAGACTAAATCTAGTTGCGCGATTGTATCGACGTCCTACAAATTGGATTGTTTTGTTTTTTGCTGCAAATCAAATCTGTAACGTCAAATTGACAAAAACACAGCGTTACCTTCCATATATAAGTATTTTAAATCACATTGTTGCTATTTACTTCTTTTTAAACTTAAAAATTACAATGATAACGGTCGTGTTTAGGATTTGTTTACTAATACAGGCCGCTCCTCTCACATAATATGCAGATTGGTCGAGCGACTGATCCGAGTTGTCGCTGTCACCGAGGGTTACTGTTATAATGTATGAATGTTTGAATAAAATTGTTATCGGCTCGACCGGGAAAGGACCACGCTCTCACTGAATACCAGCGTAAAATAGCAGCTTAATGCTGTTGTATTTCGTATGGTGAGTGTAGAGAACCGGAGATCCTTTTTACTGGAAACAAGGCATTCCATCTTAGTCCTCGCGGGTGACAACGCATGTTTATTGTTTTAATTGTTAGCTGTTTCGTAGTGGCAGACGATTGTTTTTATGTATCGGGGACAAACGCTTTGGCTTCTACACTTCAGTCCACTGGTAGCGTGTGTTGCTCTATGGAAAGAATATGAATTGAAATCGGCCTTAATTTCAGTCGGATTTGATATCCAACTAATAGGAATGGTTTACATACTTATCCGAAAAAGAAATCAAACAACTTTTAAAAATGAAATCCCAATAAAACAATCACTAAATACTCAACAAGTCATTTACTTTTTAGTTATATTCAATCCAATGCAAAAATGCCAATTTATCACAATATGTAGTGTGTTTAAGTTAAAATTGCTAAACAAATGTTTAAGTAGAATAATATAGCATTAGTAAAAATATAACTTATTTATCAACAATATAGTGAGTGAAGAGCAATGTATATAAGCATGTATAAAAATATGTTACTTTGTCTTTTCATTAAAAATAAAGTTGAATTTATACAATATCAAGGTTAAAATTTATTTGTACACTAAATGAGTACTAGTTAAATTATTAAAAGTATAAAAAAATAGTACAATCTCGTTTTATGGGACTAAACAAACATGAGATTCTTTGTGGTAAATCATAAATGCTTACAAATTAAAAAGGAGATCATAAAATAAAATTGATACAAAGATGACAAGATAATATGAACAACAGATTCAGTCAGATTGAGATATAACAACAAAAAATCTTAAAATTAATCACAAGAGAGAAAATCAAATTCTTGTTTTGGATGAGTTATCCTTAACTTCAAAAAGTTTTCGTACAAAATACACTTGTAAAGTGCCCGTTGCAGCTATAGCTAGGATTTGTATAAATGACCATCTGCAAAAAAAATTATAGATTATGACACAAATACCAGTCTTTTCATTGATATACTTAGGTCTTTTCAATGTCCAGAACAAAAGCATGCAATCTTGAAAGATATGCCCGTATTTAGCACGTTGGCAAGACATTGGTGACGACTGGTGAGTGGTGAGCACATAATTACTACTTTACCTTGAGAATTTGGGTTTAGCCAAATTTTAGTGATATAATCGCCAAAGCTTCGCTCATAACAAGGATACCACATTTCAGAAAAAAAAAATCTAAGACGTGTAAGTTGCTGTGCAATCCCATGAGTGAAATAAGAGGTCAGAGGTGCCTGACAAGCATGATGATTACGGCGAAAACGTAACGAAATTCAGGGCTGTAGAAGAAGTATATAATCTACCAACTACGGAGACTCTTAAGTCTCATCTCGAAAATAAGAAAAGACTCCTACTGTTTGTTAGATAAATGATCATTATGCAATATTACTTAGTAATCTTCACAATTAATATGAATCCATTTCAAACTACCTGCATTAATTCTAAATTTGAGTCACAATATAAAAGTGCCAACACTTGACGCGCCCAGCAGTTGATTAAGTACAGTGGTGCTGAGAAGGTTATAATAGTCAAGTCTACTGTGAAATAAAGTGATTCTAAAGGTTTTGAGTAAAGTTTAAATTAATATATAGTCTTCTATGTAAAAGTAAAGTATAGTGTGTTATAAATCATTATATACAGTTTAAGAGTGAAATTAAACACGAACATAGTGATTCAACGGTTAACTAAGTGAGTTGTCATGGTTTTATTGGAAAAAGCTGACATGCTACTTTCTTTACTTTTTCAAGTCTGCAGATAAATTTACTTCAAATAGAATAATTGATTTTCGATACAGATTACAAGAATATATATTGACAGTCATTTATGCTTAAATAGAAACCCAGCGGGACAGTTTCTTAAACAATATTTTACAATAACAAAATAGACCAGATGTGGATGTAATTCAATCTGCCCTCACTATTGATTTCTCTTCTTTCTTACTTACATTGTGTTGAACAAATCATCCCAGGGAGCAACATAATAAGTCAAAGTCAAAATATTTTAATTCTAATTTGACTTTTACAAAGCACTTTTTGAAAGTCAAGAAAGCTATACCATAATTTACAAGTCCCTACAGGAGACCTTGTGAGAATAATCTTTCTTCCCTCATTGCCACACTATAACACATAATTCTGCATAGGCCTATCATGGTGGAAAACCTTTACTGTAATCGCACTACTTAACAAGCACATTGGCCATCATGTGTATTTTACATCTGCCATATAAAGTCAGGCTAGGCTAATCTTTCCAATATGGACCATCGATTTCAAAGCCCATATGTTTTTTGTAGATAGTACTCACTAAAAGAAAGCGTTTTGCAAAGTTTTAGGTTGCGGAAACTTACGGTTCATGAGATATATTTTTTAAACTTTTCATGCAAATTGGTAAATAACACGCAATTACAAAATAAATTTGACAAATGATTGATGTTAAACGTCAGTTAGGATTCCGAATATTTTGAAAGTATCGATACTTACTAGATACCAAGTATCGTATCAATACTACTTGGTATCGAGTACGTTTCGTTAATTTTGGAGACGAAAAATTATGACAAACCAATTAGATGCATAAGAAGAGCTGATAAGTGCAATTATATATGTATATAAAGTAGAATAAAGTTTACTCTATTTAAGTTCCACCTTAGTACTTGTATTTTATTGTTTGCAACTTGTTTGTATTTCTTAATTAGTACAGCTTTTGTACTTTTATTTTATTGTTTGCAACTTTCTGTATTATCTAATTCTTACTACAATAAAGTGTTTACTTACTTATTGACTTACTTATTTAATATTCAAAAAGTACCCAAAACCGAATCAGAGCACCCCACTATCCACGTGGTCTTGTCTGCCCTACCCCTAGAGTGTATATAAGCGCCCGGAGGCGCGGAGGGAGAGCAGTGCCCGCCCGCCGTAGGGAAGCGCAGGCATCGAGATCGCCGTAGCGGCTGAGGCTTGTCGCCAAAGGCGACCAAAAAGCCGAAGCTGCGAAGGCGAGCCCAGGTGCCTGTGCTTCCCTACGCTAGGGCGGAGGCACTGCTCATCCCGCAGCGCCGGAGCTGCCACGGAGCGCCGGAGCACAACTTCCCGGCTTCTTACCCCCCCTAGTCTCCAAAATTAACGAAATGTACTCGATACCAAGTAGTATTGATACTTTTGATACGATACTTGGTATCGAGTACGTATCGATACTTTCAAAATATTCGGAACCTACACTAATTGACGTTTGACATCAATGATTTGTCAAATTTATTTTGTAATTGGTGTAATTGCGTGTTATTTGCAATTTGTATGAAAAGTTTAAAAAAATATATCTCATGAACCGTATGTTTCCGCAACCTAAAACTTTGCAAAACGCTTTCTTTTAGTGAGTACTATCTACAAAAAAAATATGGGCTTTGAAATCGATGGTCCATATTGGAAAGATTTACCACAAAAACTTTCGTGCAGACCTTAGTCTCCTTGTATGACACCTCTGGGATAATATGGAATGACGCATTTGATCTGACTGATCTTGCGCCTCTAGGGCCTAATTAAATGGTTGACATGCAATTAAGTGTGCAAGGAAATGGTTTAAACTCATATCATAATTTTTTCTCGAAAATTATGAGATGAAATCAATTCAGTAACATGAACACATGTACCCAGAAATTCTTTCGTGATCCTAAAGGGAGATTGGTTGAAATATGGACCTATTACGTTGAATTGCAAAATATAAGTTAAATTGGTTAATATAGATAGATATAAAAGTAAAACTGTGCTTACCTAAGTACATAAGCATTATTATCCTGCAACAAGTTGTAGTCACGAGACTCCCTTGCTCTGGAATGATATTGATACTGCAGGATATCATTGATATTTCTTTCCACAAATTGTATGGAATGCTGCAAATAAAGACAAGAGATAAAATTAAAAATTTTGTACAACCAACTTCAATATAAATAAAATGAGAACATCATTATCATAGTCGAAGTCAATTACATACTCATTATTAAGGATAACTCAAGAAGTACTGGTCAAGTCTTGATCAAATTTATATGGGACCACATAAGAATAATCACAATCTGTTCATCTAGAAAAAAGTTCTGAGATAATAAACAAAATAAAAAGTCTAATTGAGGTACTCAATAATCTCCTTTTTTTGAAGTCGGGTGATAAATAACATGTCATATGCTAGCAGTATATGGAATATTATTACATGCATAACGAAACATTGGCCAAAAATGTATAAAATAAGGTTCCATTGTCCACAATATAAAATAAGTAGACATGCAAGAAGTCGATAGATGCAGGTGGCTCAGGACCGTGCTTTGTGGCATTACTTGGGGGAGGCCTATGTTCAACAGTGGACTTGTGAAGGGCTGTAATGATGATGATGTCCAAATGATTTGAAAATTTATCACGCATATTCTACAAAATAAGGTTGCAGTATTTCAAATTTCCACATCCAAAAGTTTATACAAATTTTATGTACATGTATTCCCCTCCCTTTTCTTACTTAAGATTCTACCTCTTGAATAAAACTATATTTAAGGATTTTATCATGTTTAATTAACTATTATAACTCATTTTTAATTCCCGAAATTTCGGTTGCTTAACAAAACCCATGGTCATAGGGGGAACTGAGATGTTTGACATCCCAATGTCACAGTTAGCCCGGCTACCTTCAGGTTTTGAATATTAATTTTTTTTGGTCCTATCTATGCAGAATGTGCTCACAGTATCTTGAAGTCTTGCTGTGGTATGCTTGGGTTTGGGTTTAATTTTGTTAATTATAGGATCCTTCAGCTTTATACTCCCCCCCCCCATATAAAGGCATGCAGATCATTTAACGCCTCTACCCCTCGGGACCCTTACGTAATTAATGAATGGCCCCTAATGATCCTAAAGTCAGAGGAAAAAGTTCAGTATGTATGTTTTAATTTTTAAATTTTAATGCTTTTATTTTTAACTTTATTTTATTTAATTTGCTTCAAGATCTACCCCTGTACTTCACAATAAAGCTTAGATATTTTCATTGCCTTCCTATTTAACAACACCTTAGAGATCATCTTTTATTTATTACTAGCAGCATTTGGGTATTGCAATGCCTTTTTTGTCAAAACATTTAAAGGGTGCATGCAGCAACTTCCAAACTTTCATGCTAATCAGATTAATCGAATGAAAATGCATATAAAACTAACAATCATTATAAATGATTTTTTGAAAGATAACTGCGCTGGTGTGGTGTGCACAACTTACTAGTATTATCGTCATCTGAAGAATAGTATAGAAATGCATACACATTGAGTTATACAACACTAGAGGAGCAAACCACATTACCGCGCGTCGAAAAAAGTGTAACCACTATCCAAACGCGACGACGTAGCTTTGAAACTAATAACAATTTTAAGTAAACATGTATCTATCTCACTTACACAAGTTGCGAAAACAATATCTTCACTAAGATTAGATAAAGATAGACACACAAACATGCAATGGCGGGTTGGTGTGGCTTACTATGTGAAATTTTACCTAAAATATGCAATAAAAATGAGTTGTTTTAAGCTGCAGTTAATTGTTTTTATACTAAAAAAGTATATTTTATTTTAAAATCTTTATTACGTCCCCTTAGAAAAAAAAGGATACAAAGCTTATCAGATGAATAGAAGTAAACATAATGATGAAATAAAATGTATTTTTATGGAACTAATAAATCAAACAATATAAAATAGGTAATAAAATATAATTAATATAAAATTTATATGAAATTATAAATAATATAAAATTATTAATATATAATAGGTAATAAAAAATATTTGATAGATAATTCGTGAATAAACTAAAATAAGAATAATTAATTATTTTGTATGAAAGTTAAAACGTAGTTATTATTATAATTTCCAAAATATTTAAAATCAGAGGTAACAAATTAACTTACTCCTATATAGTCTCCCAATAATGTAGGATAATCACAAATGCGGAAAGTATGAAAATCAAAAAGTGGCAACATTGAACCTAAATGGCAATATTCGATAATTTTATTTAATTATTTGAGGTTTTTTATGTTTATATGAAAACAAGAACTAAAAATTATGTGTTGAAAGTGATTCCGCTTGATTTATTACGTTTTTGTGACCTTGCATAGCATTCTTTCACTACGCATTTACCCATTTTTGTCGCGGCTCAACTCTGTCGACGTCACTTTGAACAATGAACTCACATTAGGTAGGCATATAGCTGTAGCCATATGTGCAGTGGCAACGCTTTGGCGCGGTTATTACTGATCTAGTGTTATATAAATCAATGTGCATACAGGACAAACAAAAGCATTCGTAGAATTTCATTATGTTTCAGTAATAATGTTTCATTATCAACCTATTAAGTCAAGATGACTTCATCATTACTAATACAGTTAAAAAAAATTGTTCCATTTAAACAAATCTAGTATTTACACATTTAGAAAACCTTCTTCTAAGGTAGCGCTCCATTCATCCCTTCTAATTTAATAATATATTAATATACTCATACAGTAACTCTATTTAATAATTGATTAAGTAAACCCAAATTACATTTTCAGAAATGGAAATGGTTCCATAATATTGAAGTTAAAAGTAAGCTAAGTCCACCTTCAAGCAAAGAAAACCATTGATGCATTGGCACATCTGAGGACTTTGAGGAAATGGAAAAAAGCCTTACAGATTGAAATTCGACTAGTCCTCCATACCAAAAATAAATTTATATTATTTATTTGATAGTATTGGTGAATGGCAGAGTCGGAAAGGGACGTCTTAGGCTAAAGTTTATCGACCAAATTGGCGATATATTGAAAACGGGCCAAATTAGGAGTACCCTTAATCGACGAGCATGTATATATGGATGTGGAGGAGGCGAGAGAGGAGTGTCAGGATCGTGCCAAATGGAAGTCAGTAGTCTCTGCCTACCCCTCTGGATAAGAGGCGTGAGTGTTTATGTATGTTATGTTATTTGATAGTAAAGTTGTAATTTTTTAATTCTTTTTAATCATATACAAAAAAAATTATTAAATCAGACTGGTGGGTCCAGAGATTAAGGTATTTAAGCAAACAAAAAAAACCTATACTGCTTTATTATACTATAGTATAGTATATAGATTCTATCTCATTCTCTAGTAGGCCTATAATACAGATTTATATATTTGTTTCCTTTTAATGTAGCTTTATTGTTTTATTGAGTTTCAAATGACAACTTAGCTAAAGAATTTCTCACTTCAATAAGTAAAACAAACTGAAGAAAGTAACAACTTACTGTAAAATTTTTAATATTCATATCAAGCTCTTCCACTTCCTTAGCATATTTCTCCCACATGTCATATCTTATCACTGATAAGTACAAATTCACCAGTTTTCCAGCAAATCTAGAGAATTGGTTATCTATGCAAACTGCATAGTAGCCCCCTGAACTGGTCTGATCCGCATACTCGGCGCTCTGGCGCCACTCATACGGATGCACTATTTTCCCATTAGGATGACGGACGGCAAAACCACACATACCATCACCGCCTTTTAAAACCTGGAACAAGACAACATAGTTTTCTAGATATAATATCTTGTAAGAAGAAAACACATTTTAACAAAACCGATACATATTACACTTTTCTAATAAACACGACATCACGAACATTTATATGACGTGGTCTTATATAGAAAGGGGCACTAATTACCTGGTAGCTAGCGTAAAATGTGGCACCCGGTTGTACATATTGAAAGTAACAATCTTCTTTTCCGGCATCTATATGAACTTTATAATCCATGGTCACCGCCGGTAGATTCTCATACCACGGTCCCGGTGATGTAGAGACTACATCGCCAACAAGTGATAAAATTGTAAATATTACTGTTATAACGAAAAACATATGCCACGTCCGTTGAGCCATTTTTTAAGAAAAGATGTCACTGTCACTGTCAATGACAATAACAAATGACCATAGTGGTTTTATATACGTCTATGATTACTATCCTTACCGTAGACAGAGAAACCTATAGACTAATGATCGGCGTGGCCTCGAGTGAGAAAGGACGATAACGAATTTTTAGGTTACACAGTAATCTTTATGACTTTTAAACACATTTAGATAAAAAATTAATTGTTCTAAGAACTGAACTGAAGAAGATTCACCAATCTTAGGCTCACAAAACACTTTTTTCTCACTTAAACCAACTTGTAAACTCCTTAAATCGCTACGCTTTCAAAGTTGTTTAGCAAACTGTAGAGTTTGCTAAACAAAAAAACCGGCACGGTGAAAGGGACAAACAATCACACCGCTCTATCTCATTTCTATGCAAGACGTATGCATAAATCTATCTTTTTCGTGTGCGAATGCGAAAGAAGGCGTCAATTTGTCTATAGGTTTCTCTGTCTACGATCCTTACTTATTATATAGTTTGTGATCCTTAATGCACCAATTACACCACCCTGATTCAGGGCTCTGAATGAAGGGTGGGCGTGACCCCTAATTAGGGTCATCAGTTATTACACTACCCTGATTTTACGCCATTACAAGTGCCATTTACAAGTGAAAAAAGTATATATATTTATTGAATCGATATTTTTAAAGTAAATGTAACAAATCATTTAATATATTCGCCCTGCTAACTCTAATTGCGTAACTCGAGTTTAGTTCGAGTTGTGTGAATTTGAACTTGAGTTAACTCTAGTCGTAATTTTTCCAAATTAGCACATCTATAGCATGCAACATCACTCATTAAAAACATTTTAAAATAACAATTTTTACAACCTGGTGCCTAGTAAGTGGTTTCTCTCCTAGGTGATTATAAATCCAGCCTCTGAAAATAATAATGTCCTCCAGACCGAATTTCGGCCACGGCGGCCTGCCTTAACGGAAGCTAGCCATCGGCGCAGGACAGGATTATAGTGCCCAAGTGTATGCGCAAGCACAGGTGCACTCTCATAATCCGATGGGACGGTAAACCGACACGACCGGAGAGAGATCAGGGACAGGACCAACGGCTTTACGTATTTTTTACCAATAAAACAAAGTCACAACAAACTAGACGTATTTAAGTTTTTTATGATGTATATATGTATTAATTTTTAATTAACGTTATGTAATTAAATAAATCCAAACAAAACACCTCATGTCTCAAGTGCTTTGTACTCGCTCGCGATAGCAAAATATAAGCAAGATGGCCGCCTATTTAAGGTCTCATTCAGACTTTGTAATTTTATAGTTAAAAAAAGGTAGTGTTAGCGTCGCAAGCATTAAATCAGTTTTGAAATCAATGTTTAATAGAAAGACTAATCCCTGTGCCATAAGACAGTGTTGAATGTATGAATGTCATGTGAATGTAGTGATGTATGTATAATGCTCCTAATTTAGAAAGAAAGAAAGAAAGAAAGATTTATTGCAGCACGCCACAAACATCAGTAGGCACTTAAATTTTGACACATCAATTATAAACATTATAACAAACAAAAACAAAAATAGGAAACAAAACCACAATTTGACGGATAAAACAATTTAAAAGTATTAATACTCATAAATTATAATTTAAAACAAAATAGAAAGACAAAAAGAATCGTTTCTCATATTGTACGAGTATGTTGTGGCGCGTCATACAAACGGACCTCACTCAGCTTATGCCATACTTTGATAGCATATTAAGCGATATGCCACCTACGCCAACCGCATTTGATTTTAGTGACTGTACTATTTTTAAAATATCAATTTCCTGTACTGTCTTTAGCTTAAATTTACTTGAAACTTTTATATGAGATTCAAAGATAGACGTGTTAGAAGTAAGTATTTGATCATGTCCAGGAACATTTAAAAAGCTGGTATTAATTAAATTGGAATCATTAAAAATATGATACGGTAGTTCTGGTTTACTTTTTAACCTTACATTTATTTTATGTGTGACCATATGGCTTTAGGATCTCTTTTAGTATTGTTGATATAGTAGTCATAGTATGCCTGTTTTTCTTTGCGAAGCGCCTCAATACAGTATTTTTTTTAGTTCCTTATAATAGTTCTTATGTATCTCTGATCCAGATTTACGTGCTACTAAACCAGCTTCATCCCGGAGTTTCATAATTTTTTTTTTAATATTATAAGTGATCCAGGGATATTGTAAATGTCTTACAGTTTTTGTGCAAAGAGGCGCATGAATATCAAATATGGTTAACATCATTGTGTTAAAAAGAGATACCATATCATTAACGTCATTCAGGGTGTTGATGGTTTCCCAGTTCATCGACTTTAGATCTAATTGAAACTGTTCGACATCAATGGAATGTAAGTCTCTGCGTGATATTATAATTGGTTTTTGTTTGGGCTTTTTTGAAATTAATTTCACAACAAATAAATGCATGGCTACTCAGATCGGGTATGTGATTAACTAAAATATTGTATTGCTGGATGTCTGTACAAACTATATCTATTAAGGTTTGACTATGATCGGTGAAATGAGTTAGTTCAGTTACACATTGGCTCAGTTTATAGCACTGTAAGAATTCTCTAAGTTTTTTATAATTACTATCCGCGGTGTTCAATACATTTATATTAAAGTCCCCTAACAATATTATATAATTGCACCATGCAAGAGTCCCGATAGTTTCAGACAAAGCATCGAAAAATGTGTCTACGTTTAACCATGGTGGTCTATAGGCAGTACCAATCGCGATCTTAGTACCGTTAATAGTTAGAGCAAGCCACATCTGTTCTACAAGCGGAGTCGAAGGATGAGGCAACGTTCTAACAGCTAGACCCTGCCGTATGTAGAAGCCAACTCCGCCACCTCGCGAGCGCACATTGGTCGGTCGGGGAGCAACCAAGTTTCGTTAATCGCCATTAAATCGACAGCGTGGCGATCTATAGCTACTACTAGTTCTTCATGGCCTGTACCTAGTGAACCTACATTTAGAAGCCCTAACTTAAGATTACTTGTCATGTTGTATGATATAAAAGTATATTCACAATTGACATCTTTGACCAACAAATATCAGAGTAATACTCACAATAATTGTTCCTACTCTGAGCTTGTTTCATTACTCTATTTATGTTGTTGTAGGTTTGTGATATCATAAGAATGTTAACTGAATTTAGCAAATAATTATAACGGGTAGGATTTAGGGGATATACATATTTTCTTACATTTAAATAACTAATGCCTATAAAACTTATAAAGGAAGTAAAATAAATATACATACGTATCGAACATTGTCCTACTACACACATAATAACAACAACAATGAGCGTCAAGCTTTATAAAGTCTGAGTAATGTAAAAAGACATTTACTTTGTTTGGTAAACAGTTAATAACAAATGATGCACTAATAAAATTCAAAAGACTATAACAAATAATGTATATGGGTAGCAAATATTTTATGACTGTAAATGGAAATACAAATAGCTTATTACGATAACTTGACCCAACTATATATTTTTTTAAATGGGATTGCGTATTATTTCGAAGTTGTAAATAAATCTTATTAATAACTATGGGTATATACGAGTACCCACAAAACAATTGACGATAGTAAATAGTTACAAAATTAAATAAAGAAATTAAAAACACTAATTCATTTTTGTAGGTAAACTGAGAGACAGTTATGGTGATCGAACAAATTCGGACCCAAAAACCTTAGCAATATCCGCGTTGAAGCGAATGCGATTTATTGGAGCTCCTGCTTCCCGACGTGCAAAAATTCGGCCTCCCTTCGTCCAAACATATCGCCATCCCTGCTTGCGGCCTGTCTCGCGTGCCATGCGAAACAACTGCCTATTTGTTTTAGTCAGTCGTTCGTTTATATAGATATTGCAGGGTGCGGACTTAAGACCTAGAGCCTCGGTTGTTAGAGACCGGCGGACGCGGGAAGCACGCAGCACGTCGTTACGCAAGTCGCGCCGCGCCAGCCGCACAGCGATGGGCCTCGGACGAGACGTGGCATCCTGGCGGCCGCCCCCCACTCGCATACAATGGACCAGTTCCTTTTCCTCCAAATGAACACCAAGCTTGGTCACAACTGATAGAACCAAGTGTGTTGGGTTCTCCCCACTCTCCTCTGGAATGCCACTTAATTCGACGTCATTTGCAAGCAACTCCTGATCCCTATCGTTTAAGTCGGCTTGCAGCTGATTGACGGTCGACTCGAGTTTTAGGATTTCAATTTTGAATCCTTGAGAGCCATATTGCTCTTGTGATTCCAGGATAGTTTGGACCGTGTTCTCGAGCTTATCTAAACGAGCATCGCATTTGCTGACAAGGTTTCTTATGTCCTGAAGTTCTTCTCTGAATGTCCGAAATTCTTCGCGGGTTTGTCGCATTTCTTCTCGGAAACATCGCAATTCCTCGCCGAGGTTTGAAACCTCACTCGAATTAGCAACAGTAATTGTTGCGGGTTTTATCGGCGTTGTGTCCTTGTTGCAACGTTTTTCTTTCAATTTGCATTCAGGGCAAGCCCAGGATGGCATTAGTAAAGCGCCCACTGGGATGCCTACACACGCACGATGTAGCTGTTTATTGCACTTTGTACAAGTAACATTAGCGCCATCTTGCGAAGACATGTATTTACCGCACGCACTGCACTTAACTGCCATGATCAATAAGTTTTAATACGAGTAGTTGATAAAGCAAAATTATACGTTGATTTATTAGTACACAACGGAAGCGTGAGATGGAGCTGTGTTGATCAGTACTATATGACGGTAGTATGTTATAAAATTTTATTCGATGACATTTAAAAATAAAATGTTTTTAATATGTAAATGTTGTTTTTTTACTATTTATTCACTATGTTTAACTTTTGCACAAAAATTCTAACTTAAACAACGTCCAAATAATTTTAAATTTACATAAACTCTTCCGACTCACTAACTATGTATCTCAGGACGGGCGTCCGTGACGTTAATCAAAATTTAGAATCATGTGTTACGTAGCAATCGGTTACGTAACACGAACCGAAAGAATAAATGATTAAAATAATTCAAAATATTTTTTGCTACTATAAGTTCTGGGAAATTGCCACTGTTGTTAAAGAAAGAAAGAGATAATACGATGTTAGAGTAGCAAACATATATGTTAAAAAACAAGGATAGCTATTGTCAAGAGTGAGAGGGCGATAGCCTCTTATCATATTTTGTAGATAAAAATAGAAAGAAAGAAAGATTTATTGCAGAACGCCACAAAAATCAATAGGCACTTAAATTTTAACATTTGTGTACACATCCATTATAAACATTATAACAAACAAAAACAAAAATAGGAAACAAAACAACAATTTGACGGATAAAACAATTTAAAAGTATGTATCATCATCATCATCATCATTACAGCCCTTCACAAGTCCACTGCTGAACATAGGCCTCCCCCAAGGTATGCCACAAAGCACGGTCCTGAGCCACCTGCATCCATCGACTTCCTGCATGTCTTACCAGGTCGTCACTCCATCTAGTGGGGGGTCGCCCTACACTTCGTCCACCGGTACGAGACTGCCACTCGAGAACATTTTTTCCCCAACGGTTGTCGGTTCTTCGAGCTATATGGCCGGCCCATTGCCACTTTAGCTTACTAATCCGTTGGGCTATGTCGGTCACTCTGGTTCTACTGCGGATATCCTCATTTCTAAGTTTATCACGCAGAGAAACTCCGAGCATAGCCCTCTCCATAGCTCGCTGAGCGACTTTGAGCGTCCTCATACGGCCAGCAGTGAAGAACCACGTCTCAGTTCCATATGTCATCACTGGCAACACGCACTGGTTGTACAACTTAGTTTTCAAGTTTTGAGGTACACCTGACGAGAAGATGCGTTGTAATTTCCCGAACGCTGCCCAGCCGAGTTGAATCCATCGATTGACCTCTCGGTCGAAGTTGGACTTACGTAGCCGGACTATTTGTCCCAGGTAAACGTACTTGTCAACAACTTCGACCTTAGTGCTCCCAACAACTACCGCCATAGGTGTGACATGGACATTAAACATGATCTTTGTTTTGTCCACGTTCATCTTAAGACCTATCCGTTGGGAGGCACTATTGAGGTCATTGAGCATAGTGCTTAAGTCCTCCAGCGATTCTGCCTTAAGGACTATATCGTCGGCAAATCGAAGGTGAGTGATGTACTCGCCATTGATGTTAATACCGTATCCTTTCCAGCCCACTAGCTTGAAAACGTCTTCCAATGCAGCGGGGAAGAGTTTCGGGGAAATAACGTCACCCTGTCTTAGACCTCTGGATAGGTTTCGTACTCTGGTTCTGTACGCGGATAGCCATCGTAGCCCTACTATACAAACACATCAGCACTTCGATATACCGACAGTCAACTTGGCACCGCTGAAGAGACTGTAGCACCGCCCAAATTTCGACGGAATCAAAGGCTTTCTCATAGTCCACATACGCCAGGCAAAGTGGCAGATTGTACTCTTCGGACTTCTGTACAATTTGCCGAAGAGTATGTATGTGGTCTATGGTACTAAAGCCTTTTCGGAAACCGGCTTGTTCGGGAGGCTGGAAGTCGTCGAGTCTGCGTGCGAGACGATTCGTAATGACTCTCGAAAACAGCACGTAGACGCGGCTCAGAAGGGATATCGGTCTCGCCTCCGGAGTAGTGCCACCATGGAGGACGGAATTAAAGAGCCTCTGAAGGACTTCAAGTACCGGTTTTCCACCCGCTTTCAGAAGCTCCGCTGTAATTCCATCCTCGCCCGGGGACTTGCCGTTTTTAAGGTGCTGGAGAGCCATTCTAATCTCGCTCAGACTGACGTCCGGGATATCATCGGAATAGTGTCGGATAAGACCCGCTCTTGGATCGTTACTCACACTTGCATGTGGCTCCAACGATGATGTGTACAGCTGCCCATAGAACCTCTCAATCTCACTCAGAATCTCAGGTGTCCCGGAAACGATGCTGCCACACTCAGTATTCAGCTTTGACAGTTGGCTTTTACTGGCAGACAGATCTCTGGTGAAGACTTTGGAGCCCTGGTTCCGCTCAATCGCTTCTTCAATACGAGCAGTATTAAATTTGCGTAAGTCTCGCCGCATGCATTTGGAGATCTGTCTGTTCAGTTGCCTGTATGCTGTCAAATCTGTTGACGATTGCAGCCTCATCTCCCGTCTAACAGCCATGAGATTAAGAGTGTGATCGGAGAGCTTTTGTGTTCTTCTGCGGCGGGTCTTGCAGAACTTAGCTCCGACCGCATGGACAGTTTCCACGAGCTTGTCATTCATATCGTCCACTGCATTGCAATCTTCTAGGCACTGAAAGCGGTTACGTAACTCGAGCTGAAAGGTTTCGGGATTCTGGATTAGAGCACGAGGGAGACGGAGCGTTGACTTCATTAGACGAGACATCTCCAACTTAACGTTTAGGTTCAATGTGCCTCTAGCCATACGGTGGTCGCTGCTAGTTTTCACCCTTGCGATCACCGAGACATCACTGAACAGTTGGCGTCTGGTCGTCATAATGAAGTCAATCTCATTTTTTGTCGAACCTTCGGGGCTCGACCAGGTCCACTTCCTGTAGGGCCGCTTCTGGAAGAAAGAGTTCATCATAAAGAGTCCCTCTTTCTCCATAAAGTCAGGCCAGCTGCTAGCCCCTACGGTTCCGTTGCCCTACTCCAAATTTCCCTACCTCCAGCTCACGGCTTTCTCTTGTGCCTAGTTTTGCGTTGAAGTCTCCCATCAACACCGTGTAGTGGGTTGTGGAGGAATGCATGGCTCTGGAAATATCCTCATACATTTCCTCCACCTACTCATCTGGATGTGCCGAGGTTGGTGCGTAAACCTGTATGACCTTCAGCGAATGCCGTTTGGTGATTCTGAGTATTAGGTACGCGACCCTCGTCGACATACTCCCAATCTTTACAACGTTGTTGACGAGAGACTTGTGGACGATAAATCCGACACCTCCTTGGGACAGATGATCGCCCTCCCGGTCATAGAACAAGTTGCCGGACTCGAGGATTACCGTGTCCTCCCCCTCTCTTCGGACCTCGGATAACTCAATAATATGCCAGCGCAACTTGTCTAATTCTTCTTTCAACTCTAGTATCTTCTCGTCAGTCCTCTGGGTGCGTGCGTTATACGATGCCAGGTAGAGTCGTCGTAGGTGGCAACCGAACCTCCACCGGAGATTCCTAGCAGCCCCTGCCCCGCCGTTACCATGGTCGCCACCACAGCCAGGAATAGCGGGGCCGCTGGGAACTGGGGGCCGTTTATTTGCGTCGTTACCCATGGGGGGATATTTGCCATAGTTGCCACGCTTGGCGAGCGGGTTGGCAACCACAGTTTTTTATTATATCATTGCTGTTATCGGGAAGATGCTGCTGCCCATCTCCTGACTGTCTCTCTCTCTGTCGCCTCTTACGACACCCACGGGAAGATATGGGGTAGTGGATATTCTCAACCGCCACTACACGGCATATAAGTATGTATACTTATAGATTATAATTAAAAAAAAATAGAAAGACAAAAAAATCGTTTCTCATAATGTACGAGTATGTTGTGGCGCGTCATACAAACGGACCTCAAAATTCCGCTCAAGACTACAATTGCTGGGGGCAAACGGAGCAACAAGACCAAGGCGACCCCTGCCACGCTGTCCGTGAAATTCTGCAATATCAGGGGACTTCATTCTAACCTAAATGCCGTCCATTACCATCTTGAGACGGCAAGGCCGGTTCTGCTCTTTCTGACCGAGACGCAGGTGTCCTCTCCGGCTGATGCTTCGTATCTCTCCTACACGGGGTACAAACTGGAACACTCCTTAGTGCCTCAGAGAGGACATCTGTTCTCGACGCCTCGGCAGACTTGAAGGATCGGACCTGTCCATCCTTTGTCTACGCGTAGACAGCGACGACCATCCGCGCGTCTACGGGTGCCTCTATAGGTCCCATAGCGGTAATGCCGAAACGGACCGACTCTTCGCCCACGTCCAAATGGCTACAGATTCGATGCTACAGCAGATCCCCTCCGCAGAAATCGTGATCCTCGGCGACTTTAACGCCCATCACGCCGAATGGCTTGGTTCACGTTTAACCGACCATGCGGGGAGATCTGTTTATGATTTTGCCTTGGCATATGGTCTGACACTACTGGTTAATTCGCCTACGTGGATTCCAGATGTGGAGGATCATGCACCTTCACTGTTGGACCTTCTGCTGACCTCTCACCCGGACGGATATCAGATTTCCGTCGACGCCCCTTTCGGCTCCTCGGACCATTGTCTTGTCCGGAGTGTGGTGCCACTCACGCTGAAATCGCAGTTGCATTCTGCAGGCTGCCGCCGTGTTTGGCACTATAGGTCAGCCGATTGGGATAGGATGCGGTCTTTCTTTGCATCCTACCCTTGGGGGCGGGTTTGCTTCTCGCCGGACGATCCAAACGTTGTTGCGGATTCTGTCGCTGATGTGGTACTTCAGGGTATGGAACTTCTTATTCCTTCCTCTGTGGTGCCCATTGAGGGGGAGGCAAATCTCAGCCAAGGTTTGGTCGCTCCTGTAAAATAGCATCATGCTATAAGCAGGAGTGCTACCAAGCCTAGGCTGACGCATCAGCGTCCTAGGCCAGCGCCTCTAGGTCCTTCAAAAGAGTCATTGCCAAG